CCATTATGACTGGTGTTCTTATAAAATGGGGCAATTTGGGGCCAGGTGTGGTGGTTTATACCTGTAATCCAAGCACTTTGGGAGGCCAAGGCATGTGGATCACCTGACCTTGAAGTTCAAGACCAGCCTGGCCAACATGGTGAAACCTTGTCTCTACTAAAAGTACAAAAATTAGCCAGGTGTGGTGGCAGGCCCCTGCAGTCCCAGCTACTCAGGAGGCTGAGGCAGGAGAATCACCTGAACCTGGGAGGCGGAGGTTGCAGTGAGCCAAGATTGTGCCACTGCACTCCAGCCTGGGCAATGGAGCAAGACGCTGTCTCAAAATAAAACAAAAACAAGAACAAACAAAAACGATGGAGGGAAATTTGGAGACAGATACACACACAGAAGAATGCAGTGAGAACTTGAAGGTGGAGCTCAAGCTAGGAGAGGACCTGAAGCAGATCCATCCTCACAGCCCTCAGAAAGAATCCAACCTGCTGAAACCTCACTTTCCAGACTTCTAGACTCTGGAACTATGAAACAATAAATTTGTGTTGTTTAAGCCACCCTATTTATAGTACTTTCTTTTTTTTTTTTTTTTTTTTTTTTTTTTCACACTGAGCCTCACTTGCCCAGGCTGGAGTTCAGTGGCACAATCACAGCTCACTGCAAACTCCGCCTCCCAGGTTTAAGCAATTCTCCTGTCTCAGCCTCCTGAGTAGCTGGGATTGGAGGTGCCTGCCACCACATGGGTTAATTTCTGTATTTTTAGTAGAGACAGGTTTTCACCATGTTAGCCAGGCTAGTCTCCAACTCCTGACCTCAAGTGATCCGCACCCCCCTTTGCCTCCCAACGTGCTGGGATTACAGGCCTGAGCCACCATGCCCGGCCATGTACTTTCTTAGGGCAGACCTAACAAATTAATACAGCTATCCTGAACTAGCATATGTGTAAATTACCAAAACAACAAACATACATATATTAGACATGTACATTACAACTACGTGTGTAATAGGTAGTAAGAATACCGAAGGGAATTGATAATGTGCTAAAGTGTTTGACCTGTTATAGATACTAGTAAGTGAAAGAAATAACAGGAGCGTGAGGTTTTTTTGTTTTTTGTTTTTAAGATGGAGTCTCGCTCTGTGGCAGTGGAGCGATCTCAACTCGCCACCTTGCGCGATCTCAACCTCCGCCTCCCAGGTTCTGGCGATTCTCCCGCCTCAGCCTGCCAAGTAGCTGGGATTATAGGCATACACGACCACCCGGCTAATTTTTGTATTTTTAGTAGAGATGGGTTTCATCATGTTGCCCAGTCTGGTCTCAAACTTCTGATCTTAAGTGATCAAGAATGGTTTCATCACCGCCTCCCAAAATGCTGGGATCACAGGTCCCCAGCCAGGAGTGGTTTTTTATATGAGTGTTTCTTAGAGTATGAATGTCCCTAAGGACGAAAAATAGAACATTGTATTTCCAGGAGACCTCAGGTGCAGAAGATGAAGTTAATAATACTCGTCAATTCCTGACGAGCATTTTCACTTATCCATGGAAGCACCCTGCCTCCTTTCCTCTGTATATTCCTCTTTTCCCCATTCCACTCCTTCCGCATAGATGACATTCTAAATCACTTGACAGTTATTTTGTTTGGCAAACATGCGTTGTTTCTTTTTGTTGTTGCTGTTTTTGTTTGTTTTTTGTTTCTGTTTGTTTTTTTGAGATGGAGTCTTGCTCTGTCGCCTCAGGCTGGCGTGCAGTGGCATGATCTCGGCTCATTTCAACCTCTGCTTCCTGGGTTCAAGTGATTCTCCTGCCTCAGCCTCCCAAAGTGCTCTAGTGATTTGCCGGCCTTGGCCTCCCAAAGTGCTAGGATTACAAGCATGAGCCACCGTGCCTGGCCTCAAGACCTCATTCTAATGCCATCTTTTCAACAAATACCTTTTCTGACCATCCCCTCAGCAAAAACAAACAAATAAAAAGTCTCATGGGACTAATTTTTATCATCATATTCAAATTCATATTTTGTTTACATACATCTTTTTTATTTTTTCCAGACTTGCCCCTGCATAAACTGGATGAAGCTGCTGCCAATTTAACCAAGTGGGAGTCCCAGTGCTAATTGTCTGCTGGATGGGATATCTTTATTGGAACAGATCAACATAGCCTCACATTTGTGGTTTGTGACCACTGATTTAGCAAATACATTCTTTCTCGACCGCCCAGCCTCAAGCAATCCTTCCCACCCAGCCTCCCGAGTAGTTGAAACTAGAGGCACATGCCACCATGCCCTGATACTTTTTTTCTTCTTTTTTTTTTTTTGGTAGAGACAGCATCTCACTATGTTGCCCAGGCTGATCTCGAATTCCTGAGTTCAACTGATCCTTTCACCTCAGCCTCCCAAGGTGTTGGGATTATAGGCATTAGTCACTGCACCTGACTAACATTCTTTTCTAAATCATCAAGGGGATGGTCAGAAGTAGTCCACCAGGGAGGGGGTGAACAACAGTATACAGTCATGGTCTTTCATCAGGGCTATGTTTTTTTGTTTGCTTGTTTTGTTGTTGTTGTTTTGAGACAGAATCTCACTCTGTCGCTCAGGCTGGAGTGCAGTGGCACGATCTTGGCTCACTGCAACCTCTGCCTCTCTCGGGTTCAAGCGATTATCCTGCCTCAGCCTCCCATGTAGCTGAGATTACAGGCGCACACCACCACACCCAGCTAAACTTTTGGATTTTAGTAGAGACGGGTTTTCACTGTGTCGCCCAGGCTAGTCTTGAACTCCTGAGCTCAGGCAATCCACCTGTCTCAGCCTCCCGAAGTGCTGGGATTACAGGCATGAGCCACCGTGCCCAGCCCCATCGGGTTAGGTTAATTCTCTTCCCGGTCATGATGTAGTCTAAAAAATGTGGACCATTTGCACATTCTGCACAGTATCACACTGGTCCATCATCTTGTAACTTTATATCCTTCAGACATCTTTTAAGTAGAATGAAGACTACTTAGAGGTAGGAACCAACCCTACCTTGGTGATTTTGTTCCTCCAAAAATCCTTGCACATAATAATTCAGTATTTATTGAAGGAAAATGTTATATACTGTTTCATACCACAAACAAGATTGTTCTGTCCTTGAAGACAAGATCTTTTGTATCTTTGGAGCAGGAAATGTTCTATAAATGCCTGTTGACCTATTAATTTCCTCTTCACTGACAATTAGATACTCTATCAAGATATGTAGGTATCTTCTTCAGGGTGCCTTGCACTTAGCAGAGTCCCAAATATTTTTTTTTTTTTTTTTTTTTTGAGACGGAGTTTCGCTCGTTACCCAGGCTGGAGTGCAATGGCGCGATCTCGGCTCACCACAACCTCCGCCTCCTGGGCTCTGGCAATTCTCCTGCCTCAGCCTCCTGAGTAGCTGGGATTACAGGCACGTGCCACCATGGCCAGCTAATTTTTTGTATTTTTAGTAGAGACGGGGTTTCACTATGTTGACCAGGATGGTCTCGATCTCTTGACCTCGTGATCCACCCGCCTCGGCCTCCCAAAGTGCTGGGATTACAGGCTTGAGCCACCGCGCCCGGCTGAGTCCCAAATATTTTATTTTCTACACTCCAGTATCACCAAATGATGTAAAGTATCACAGCCAATCACACTTCACACCAACCTCTCCATTCTCATGCATAGCTCCTCTCCAGCCACCCTTCTGAAAACTGACTTTCCTAAACATTTCCATTAAGACCTAGGATCATGTTTTCAATATATACCCATCAATCCATTTGTCCAAAACCCACTTGTAATTTAACAGTTACTTTTTATTTTTATTAAAGATGGTGTCTTGCTAAGTTCCTAAGGCCAGCCTCCAACTCCTGGTCTCAAGGGATCCTCCCACCTCAGCTGCACAGTAGCTGGGATAAAAAGTGCACACCAACCGCCATGCCCTGCAACAAGTATTTATTAATCTAACTTCACTTTTACACAGTTTTTGTTTTTTTAAATATAGAGATGGGGGTCTTGCTATGTTGCGCAGGCTAGTCTTGAACTCCTAGCTTCATGCAATCTTCATGCCTTGGCTTCCCAAAGTGTTGAGATTACAGGTGTGAGCCACTGCACCTAGCCCTAAGTTCACTTTTTCTGAGACCGGGTCTCACCCCAGTTGCTCAGGCTGGAATTAAATGGCATGATCTCAGTTCACAGTAAACAGATCACATCAAACTCCTGGGCTCAGGTAATCCTCCCACCTCAGCCTCCTGAGTAGGTGGGACTACAGGGATGCCAAACCACGCCCAGCTAATTATTTTGTATTTTTAGGGGTTTCATCACGTTGCCCAGACTGGTCTCAAATTCCTGGCTCCAAACAATCCTCCCACCTCAGCCTCCCAAAACGCTAGGATTACATGTGGGTATCACTACGTCCAGCTGTAATTTTTAAAAAATTTCTATTAAAAAAGAAAAAAACACATAGATGCCCTAGACTCAACTTAGCTCTACTGATCACAATCTTTAGGGGCTGGACTAGGCTTTTGAAATGTTGAAACACCCAGACAACTCTGATGACCAGTCAGGCTTAGAATCCCCCATCTCTACCACTCACATGGTACTTAATGCTTCATATTCAAATGGAAAAAACACCTCACACTGTTTTGTTTTTCCTATAGTTCCGACTCAAGAGAAAATGCCTAATAAATATTTTTACGAGAATAATGGAGAAGTATAACTCCATTTGTCTTTTTTTCCCCTCAGGTTTTACATTCAAACTCCATTTTTCTATTGTATTTCATTTCAGAGTGGAAGATCTTTAGAAACACTATTAACCTAATTGTTATTAGCTTGCTATAAGCATTATGTCAAAAAGTGATGACATTCTCATCAACTTTTCTTTTTTAAAGGCATTAGGTATAGTTAGACTGTAAAAGGCAAGTGGTGTGAGGCCCAAACCTAAGACCCTAAAACCCAGGATGAGTCAAGACTTCATAGTCTACATGAGTAGAGGCAGCATTAAAGGAAAACAAAATTATGTGGCTATCAAATTCCAAAGAAGCCCCATTTTATTCCAGAGAGCAGACAAAGCCGTTTCCTCATAAGGAAAAGTAGTTTCCCTTCTCCAGGGTAACAGATGAGCTTTTCCCGCAATTCTCAGCTTTCTCTTCTATCGATACTTCCCATGTCGGTTAAGGTGTTTGTAGAGATAGCGGATGCGTTTATTAAGGTTATGCAGGTCATCAGCGAACATTCTATGTCCGACCATTTTCTTCTTTCGGATACAGCGTTGCAATTCATTTCCTTTCCAACCTCGAAGCCATACAGGGCCCCTGATCAGTTCTTTGGGGTGCTTTTCAAAGTTTCCTGTGTAATGTGAGAACACATTAGATCCAATATAAGAGGACCCATCCTACACCAGCTAAGCTTTCAACCCACAGTTACATCTTGCTGAGCAACACCTAGAGACAAGACACATTACAGTAGAGAATCGATAGGACAGACTCTGGAGTCAGACTGCTTGGGGTTAAAATTCTGACACTGACATTTATTAACTTTGAAAAAACTGATTTCTCCGTTCGTTCCTCAGTCTCCTCACTTATGAAGTAAAAATTTTATGAGGGCACTCAGAACAGTGCCAAACACAATGTAAACAGCTACATACGTGTTTGCTCTTACTATTGAGCACAGTATCACTCTCTACACAGGAGGAAAATATAGTCGTTACAACGTAATTGCCGTTCTGAAATTCTGTACCACGTCAAGGGTCAAGTCTTACCCAGGATCCCGATGTTGTCATACACTCCGAACATGGCCCTCTTCTCGTTCCAACGATCAACCACTTTGGGGGGCGGGAGGGTGAGCCTTATACCGATCAATCTAGGAACATCTGAAGATGGGGAAGGGAGGGAATGAATCTGAGCCGCCTATAATACTACGAAGCGGTTATCGGCGCGTCTACATCAGCCACTTACCGAGAGAGAAGCTTCTGCACGCCAAAGGCACCCAGTCCAACAGGCGCCGACCTGCCCCGCATAAGAGGCTCCCTGCCATTTCTCTAGTCCCCCTTTCAACAGCACACCAAACAAGCCCAAGAATGAGGACCAAATGTGGCCCTCAAGAAGATGACGACAGGAACTGCCCCCGCCGACTTCACAAGTATACCAACGTGAAGGCAGCCATCTTGGGCCTTACCCAGGTAGCTGTGGGCGCAGGACCCATCTAGGCCCCGCCCCCCTGGTTCCGGCCAGAGGGGCATGTACCTTTGAAGGGTCCCGCCTCACTGCTTCCGGTTTGTCCGCCGGAGGTTTTGGAGCGCTGAATTCGCTGAGGTCCGCGACTCGTCGCTAAGATTCCCGAAAACAGAGATTTCAAGAAAATTCACCCTTTCCACTTTCTTTAGCGTCCTTCAACTGTGAAGGATATGAAGGTTGAGAACCTGGAATCCGCTTCCAAAGACCAAGCCCTTTCTCTGTGCCTCACAGCAGTCTTGCGCTGTAGCTGTTTTTATTATCCCCATTTTACTACGGGGAAGGAAATTTGAGGCCCTGAAAGTGACTTGCTGGACGGCACTTAGCGGAGGAGATGGCGAAAACCTGGATCAGAGACGATGCCTTTTAACTCCCAGCGTGGACTTGCCTCCTTTCCTGGAGGTGACTGAATGATTCAGTATTTTAGGGCACTACTGCTGCCCAGCCAGGGACGCGACATCTCTGGCCCGCAGAAATACGGCCTCCCCGCCGACAGGGAAAAGGGGGCCCCGGCGGGCAAGGAGGCATTCGCGGGCGAGTAGGGCGTGGGTGCGGGGGCTGGAGCCGGAGCCTTGGCCCGCCCCCGGGCGGCGCTGTGATTGGCCGGCCGCTCCGGCGACCGTCGCGATTGGCCCTCCTGCAGCCGTTGCAATTTGAACTCGGTATTTGTGGCTTTGCCCGCGCGTTGCCAGACTAAGAGGCGGGCCTTTGCCTCTGCCTGCCGGGGATTGGCCGGTTTCTCCGCCAACTTGAAAACTGCCTCGCTGATTGGTGTGTGTTGTGCACGCGTCTTTTTTCCTGTTCATTTCAGCCCGACTGCTGGAGTCAGAGGATCCGCGGGTGAGATCCCCAGGTAAGATGTGGTGTTGCAGGTCCTAAAAGAGTAGGAAAATCGAGTACATGGCTGTGTGACCCGGTATTGGACGATATACAATAGGCAGGGAGGTCTAGTAGGTGTATCCTTGGGGCGTAATGTGGGAGAAACTGTAAGTGACAGATCCCCAACGGAAGATGTTAAGCAAATCGCTTAACCTTTCTTATTTCAATTCCTGCTCTGTAAACGCAGTTGTATTATCATGCACCCCGTAGGATTGAGGATAGGAAACTTAGATAGATATGATGTATGTAGGTAGCCTAACAGACCTAGCGCAAGATAAATAAACCGTCAGTGTTAACGCTCTTCCCATTCTGGTGCAGGAGGCCCACTAGCCCCTGCTGGGGCACTGTTCTGGCCTCAGATGAGACCAGACCATTCTCTCTACTTAAGAGCTTTGCACATAAAAATGAAAATAATACTAACTTTAAAGAACTATGAAGTGGCACATTAATATGCCACTTCATAGTTCTTTAAACACCTTCCTACTGCTTGGTTCGTTTGGTCATCAGAGCAACTTTGTGAATTAATCAGAGATTAGTCACTCTGTCTTTTACAGATAAGGCCCAGGGGTTTAAGTAACAAGACCAAGTGGCAAAGTGGCTACTAGAATTAGTTTCTAGTCCAGGGTCAATCTCACATCCTGTCAGATAATGTTATTAGCTTGCTGTAAGACTAAAAGCCATTATACATGTTGTGGGTGGAGAAGTAATAGAACCAGATATAAAGACAGGTCTTGAGTATAGATCCTGACATTTTCACTGTTTGGTTTCTAGCCCTGTGAGCCCGTAGGAGAAGATGGCCCCCCAGATATATGAGTTCCATCTGCCATTATCCCCAGAGGAGTTGTTGAAAAGTGGAGGGGTGAATCAGTATGTTGTGCAAGAGGTACTGTCCATCAAACATCTTCCACCACAGCTTAGAGGTAAGACTCCATAGCTGTCACTGTACCTAGCTCTTCCAAACAACTGTCCCACATGGAGTTGCTACATTGTCATTTCTGTTCCACTACACCAAGAAGCTCCATAAGATCAAGAAACATGTTTTTCCTATTTTGGTGTTTTATCATAACATTTCATGGGTTACATGAAGCAAAGAGTATATTCATTAACTGCCTTTTCTGAATTAGTCAAAAACAGTCTTGTTGTACATGATTACTCTTTTTTTTTTTTTTTGAGACGGAGAGTTTCGCTCTTGTTACCCAGGCTGGAGTGCAATGGCGCGATCTCGGCTCGCTGCAACCTCTGCCTCCTAGGTTCAGGCAATTCTCCTGCCTCAGCCTCCTGAGTAGCTGGGACTACAGGCACGCGCCACCATGCCCAGCTAATTTTTTGTATTTTTGGTAGAGACGGGGTTTCACCATGTTGACCAGGATGGTCTCGATCTCTTGACCTTGTGATCCACCCGCCTCGGCCTCCCAAAGTGTTGGGATTACAGGCGTGAGCCACCGTGCCTGGCCATGATTATTCTTTGGGGAAAAGTTTTTTCCATCTTTACCCCTTACCATTTGTTAAAATTAAGTCCTGGTGGATTTAAGAGTTATAGGGAGGGGATAGCTTTTTCAGAATGTCTGGGACGTAACCTGACCTGTTTTTGTAATACCTTTTTAGAATCTAGATATCTTCCTTCCAAGATGTGCAGTTGTGTGTAAAAAAAAAAAAAAACCAACTCATAATACATGTGCATGTGTACCACTGTAACACCAATATATATGGATAGTACAGTCGCCTACTGAAACCTATGAATGATGAAAAGCACGTTTTGCATTACCAGAAAGACCTCATGATGTCATTGTACTTGTCGGAAGCAGTTTTGTAGCAGTTAGGTTGCTTTGGAGCTACATAGATTAAAGACTGTGGAACCAGGCTGCCTGGATTTGAATCCTGGTTCTACCACTCTGACCTTGGACAAGTTGTTTAATTCTCTTGGTGCCTTCGTTTCCTCATCTGTAAATATAGAGATTATAACCTATTTCATTTGTTATCACCTACAAGAAGAAGAGATGGTTAATGCAACAGCTTGACAATATGGCCCCACCTTGTCTCTTCTTGGCCTTTCTTTCATGGATGCTAGATGGCAGCTTCTTTTTCTTCCCCCTCTTTTTTTTTTTTTTTTTTTTTTGAGTCGGGGGTCCGGCTCTGTCACCCAAGCTGTAGTGCAGTGGTGTGATCTCGGCTCACCGCAACCTCTGCCTCCCGGGCTCAAGTGATTCTCCTGCCTCAATCTCCCGGGTTGCTGGGATTATAGGTGCCTGCCACCATGCCCACCTATTTTCTTTTTCTTTCTTTTTTTTTTTTTTTTTGAGACAAGAGTCTCTCACTCTCGCCGGGGCCAGGTTGGAGTGCAGAGGTACAATTTCCGCTCACTGCAACCTCCACCTCCCGGGTTCAAGCAACTCTCCTGCCTCAGCCTCCCCAGTAGCTGGGACTACAGGCCCGCACCACGACGCCCAGCTAATTTTTGTATTTTAGTGGAGTCAGGGTTTTACTATGTTGGCCAGGATGGTCTTGATCTCTTGATCTCATGATCCACCCGCCTCGGCCTCCCAAAGTGCTGGGATTACAGACGTGAGCCACCGCGCCCAGCTAATTTTTGTATTTTTAGTAGAGACAGGGTTTCACCAGGTTGGCCAGGCTGGTCTTGAGCTCCTGACCTCAGGTAATCCACCTACGTCAGCCTGCCAAAGTGCTGGGATTACAGGTGTGAGCCACTGCACCCTATCAACTTTTGTATTTTTAGTAGAGATGAGGTTTCACCATATTGGCCAGGCTGGTCTCAAACTCTTGACCTCGTGATCCACCTGTCTCAGCCTCCCAAAGTGCTGGGATTACAGGCGTGAGCCACCACACCCTATTATATTTTTATGACACCACTGTCCCATATGTGGTCTGTTGTTTAACAAAATGTTACAGGGCACAGGTAAGAGAAATAGAATTACCCAGACTGGCCGGGCGCGGTGGCTCAAGCCTGTAATCCCAGCACTTTGGGAGGCCGAGGCGGGCGGATCACAAGGTCAAGAGATCGAGACCATCCTGGTCAACATGGTGAAACCCCATCTCTACTAAAAATACAAAAAATTAGCTGGACATGGTGGCGCGTGCCTGTAATCCCAGCTACTCAGGAGGCTGAGGCAGGAGAATTGCCTGAACCCAGGAGGCGGAGGTTGCGGCGAGCCAAGATCGCGCCATTGCACTCCAGCCCGGGTAACAAGAGCAAAACTGTCTCAAAAAAAAAAAAAAAAAGAATTACTGAGACTGGCTAAACTGATCGAGATTATTACCTAGGAGCCTCCTTAAACTTAAGCATATCAACCATTTGGTAAGCAGGGAAGAAGGTAGAGTGTGGAGGTTGGCTGATGGATGGCAAACCAACAGTGTCCACAGATACACTATGTCATGTGGATATATATGTCACCAATTGAACACGCTGCATACTTTGACAAATTATTCTTCAGTTATTATAACGATGCATCATTTTTTTAAACAATCACCTTTTTTTTTTTTTTTTTTTGAGGCGGAGTTTCGCTCTTGTTACCCAGGCTGGAGTGCAATGGCGCAATCTCGGCTCACCGCAACCTCCGCCTCCTGGGTTCAGGCAATTCTCCTGTCTCAGCCTCCTGAGCAGCTGGGATTACAGGCATGTGCCACCATGCCCAGCTCATTTTTTGGATTTTTAGTAGAAACGGGGTTTCACCATGTTGACCAGGATGGTCTCGATCTCTTGACCTTGTGATCCACCCGCCTCGGCCTCCCAAAGTGCTGGGATTACAGGCTTGAGCCACCGCACCCGGCCACAATCACTTTTTTTAAGTTTGGAGTGCATGTACAGGATGTGCAAGTTTCTTACACAGGTAAACATGTGCCATGATGGTTTCCTGCACCTATCAACCCATCACCTGGGTAGTAAGCCCATCGTGTATTAGCTATCTTTTCCCTCCCACCACTCCACCCCCTAACAGGCTCCAGTGGTATTGTTCCCCTCCCTGTGTCCATTTGATCTCATTGTTCAGCTCCCACTTATAAGTAAGAACATGCAGTGTTTGGCTTGCCCTGCTAATTTTTATGTTATTTGCAATAATGAGGTTTTGCCACGTTGCCTAGGCTGGTCTCAAACTCCCAAGCTCAAGCGATTTGCCCACCTTAGCCTCCCAAAGTGCTGAGATTACAGGCATGAGCCACTGCACCCAGCCAAGAGTCCTTTTTTTAAAACAATTGCATTCCTTTGATGATTTTGGTGATGAGAACCCTGAATACAACATCTCCTCTAAATAATATAAGATCAAATCATTTAATTCATCTAACAAGTATTTACTGATCATATGCTGTGTGCCAGGCATTGTTCTAAGCACTGGTAATACAATGGTAAACAGAACAGACAAAATGACAGTTTTTCTTTTAAAGGCTCTCAACAAGTAATAAACAAGTAAATATGTAGTATAACAGGACCCTTATCCAAGGAGATATATTCCAAGACCTTGATTAAATTCCTGAACCTAGCATAGTACCAAACCCTATATATACTATGTTTTTTTCCCTCCACCTGCATACCTATGGTAATGTTTAATTTACAAATTAGATACAATAAGAGATTAACAACAATATTAATAAAATAGAACAATTAGAACTCTGCCAACATCACTCCTCTTGCACTTTGGGGCCATTATTAAGTAAAATAAAGTTTCCTTTTTTTTTTTTGAGACGGAGTTTCACTCTTGTTACCCAGGCTGGAGTGCAATGGCGCGATCTCGGCTCACCGCAACCTCCACCTCCTGGGTTCAGGCAATTCTGCCTCAGCCTCCTGAGTAGCTAGGATTACAGGCACGCGCCACCATGCCCAGCTAATTTTTTGTATTTTTAGTAGAGACGGGGTTTCACCATGTTGACCAGGATGGTCTCGATCTCTTGACCTCGTGATCCACCCACCTCAGCCTCCCAAAGTGCTAGGATTACAGGCTTGAGCCACCACGCCCGGCAATAAAGTTTTCGTAGACGGAAGTCCTGTAGCAGTTGATCTGATAACCAAGGTGGCTTCGAATGAGTGGCAAGGTAGCATATACAGCCTGGGTATGCTGGACAGAGGGAGGACTCACATCCCAGGCAGGAGGCAGCAGGGCAGCACCAAATTGTATGCTACTCAGAATGACGCACAGGTTAAAATTATGAATTGTTTATCTCTGTAATATTTCTTTTTTGTTTTTGAGACAGAGTCTCGTTTTGTCACCCGGGCTGGAGTCCAGTGGCTCAATCTAAGCTCACTGCAACCTCCACCTCCTGGGCTCAAGCAATTCTCCTGCCTCAGCCTCCCAAGTAGCTGGGACTATAGGCGAGTGCCACCGTGCCCTGCTAATTTTTGGGGGTTTTTTGTTTTGTTTGAGGCAATCTTACTCTTGTCACCCAGGCTGGAGTGCAGTGGCATGATATTGGCTCACTGCAACCTCCACCTCCCCCAGGTTCAAGCAATTCTCCTGCCTCAGCCTCCCAAGTGGCTGGGATTACAGGTACCGACTACCACACCCTGCTAATTTTTTGTATTTTTTAGTAGAGATGGGGTTTCACCATGTTGGCTAGGCTGGTCTCGAACTCCTGACCTCAGGTGATCCACCCACCTCGGCCTCCCAAAGTGCTGGGATTATAGGCGTGAGCCACCAGGCCCTGCCAATTTTTTCTATTTTTAGTAGAAATGGGGTTTCACCATGTTGGCCGGGCTGGTCTTGAACTCCTGTCCTCAGGTGATCCACCCACCTCAACTTTCCAAAGTGCTGGGATTACAGGTGTGAGCCACTGTGCCCAGCCTGTTTCTGGAATATTTCATTTAATGTTTTCAGACTTGAGATTGACCACAGGTAATTGAAACCTCAGAAACTGAGAACATGGATTGGTGAGAACTATTGTATGTTAGATGGTTGTAAGAGCCAAAGTGAAAAAGCAGACAGTGTGGCCAGGCACAGTGGCTCACGCCTATAATCCTAGCACTTTGGGAGGCTGAGGCGGGTGGATCATTTGAGCTAAGGAGTTTGAGACCAGCCTGGTCAACATGGTGAAACCCCATCTCCATCAAAATTACAAAAAAGTTAGCTAGGCGTGGTCGTGTATACCTATATTTCCAGCTACTTGGGAGGCTGAGTTGTGAGAATTGCTTGAGCCCAGGAGGTAGAGGCTGCAGTAAGCCATGATCCACCACTGCACTGCAACCTGGGCCACAGAGCTAGACCGTGTTTCAAAATTAAAAAATAAAAAGAAGTGTACTGCAAATCGTGGCTCGTCCCTGTAATCCCAGTCACTTGGGAGGCAGTGGCAGGAGGATTGTTTAAGGCCAGGAGCTCAAGACTAGCCTGGGCAACATAGTCTCTAAAATTAATTATACAAAGCTTAGTAATAAATAATATAGCTGGGCACAGTGGCTCACACCTGTAATCCCAGCACTTTGGGAGGCCAAGGTGAACGGATCACGAGGTCAGGAGTTCAGGACCAGCCTGACCAACATGGTGAAACCCCGTCTCTACTAAAAGTACAGAAATTAGCCGGGCATGGTGACAGTCGCCTGTAATCCCAGCTGCTTGGGAGCTGAGGCGGAAGAATTGTTTGAACCCAGGAGGCGGAATTTGCAGTGAGCTGAGATTGTGCCATTGCATTCCAGCCTGGGCAGAGACTTTGTCTCAAAACAAAACAAAACAAAACAAAAGATTCACTGTCTACTGTGTTGAGCGGAGACTATAGGAGGCTAGAGGAGAAGCAGGGAGACTAGTTTAGTGGCTGTTACAGTAATACCAAGTAGATTGGCCTGGAGGAATAGCAGGGGAAGTGGTGATAAAATGTTGCATTTAGGATGTATTTTGAAAGTAGAGGTTACAGGAATACGGATGGATGGGATTGGATTTGTAGGGTTGGAAAGGAATCTGAAATGAGATGATTACAAGGCTTTTAATTTTTTTGAGACAGCCTTGTTCTGTTGGCTCTGTCACCAGGGCTGGAGAGCAGTGGCATGATCTTGGCTCACTGTAATCTCTGCCTCGTAGGTTCAAGCAATTTTCATGCCTCAGCCACCTATCTAGGATTATAGGTGTGCACTACCACACCCAGCTAATGTTGTCCAGGCTGGTCTTGAACTTTCGGCCTCACGTGATCTGCCCGCCTCGGCCTCCCAAAATGCTGGGATTACAGGCGTGAGCCACCATGCCCAGCCTTACAAGGCTTTTTGACTTGAGCAACTAGAAGAATGAAGTTACCATTTACTGAGATGGGGTAGAATATGGGAAGAACAGGTTTAGATTACTTAATGTGCATGTGGAGTTCAAGAGAGAGGTGTCAGCTAAAGATACACATATTAGGATTTAGCACTCAGCATGTAGACAACATTTAAAGCCATGAGATTGGAGTGAGTTTAGATGGAGAAGAGAAGCAGTTTGAACACCAAGACCTGAGACAGTCCAGCATTTAGAGGTTAGGAAGATGGCGAAGAACCAGTAGAAGAAATTAAGCAGTCATTGGGGCACAAAGTGAATGAAGGAGCTAAATGGAAGCCAAATAAATAGAGCATTTCAAAAACAGGGGAGAGGTCAACTGCAGATTAACTATTGGATTTATTGATGTCATAGTCACTGGTAACCTTGACAAAGCTATTTCATAGGATGCTGGGGGCAAAAGCCTGCTTGGAATAGGTTTTTAAGAAAATGGAATGAGAGAAATTAGAGATGATGAATTTACATAACGTATTTGTTTTAATATGGGCAGCATTACGTATGTATGTTGAGTAGAGTGATCAGAGAGAGAAAAGCCAATGATGCAGAGGAAGAGGGTGCAGTACCTTTAGTAAGTAAGAGAGTATTTGCTTTGGTACACAGGGAGGAAATGGCTTTACAGGACATGGACAGTTTAGCCACAGTAGCAAAAAAAAAGAAAAAAGGCAGAGTATATGGGCACAGATGCAACTAGTGCAGGTAAATATAGAGCTTGGGGCAGTCGAAAGTTCTGTCTGCTTCTGTTTCCTCAATAAGAAGGGAAGGCCTTTAACAGAGTGAGTTTGGGAGGAAGATCATGGTGTTATGAGCAGAGGATAGGTGTGAAATAATTGCCTAGAAGAAAGTGAGCAGACTTGGGCGTATGAAGGCCTACTTCGGATTAGTAGTCATGAGTTTAACGTAAGAGTAGTTGGCATGTTTGTGTGTTTTTCTCAGGCCATTTTTATTGTGTGGTTGCATGAATGGAGTAACCAGAAAGTTGATTGAACCTAGATTTGCCAGGGAAGTGTGTGTTGTTGTTGTTAATTAGTGGAATAAGAAGTATCACAATATCTAACAATAGGGGAATAGTAACTTAATTAAGATAGATACAAGGCCGACTGTGGTGGGACTTCCTGTAGTCCCAGCTACTCTGAAGGCCGGGGCAGGAAGATCACGTGAACGCAGAAGTTTGAGGCTGGCAGGCTATGATCCTGCCACCGCACTTCGGCCTGGGCAACACAGTGAAACCCTGTGTCAAAAACAAAATTGTTTACCAAGGTTTCTTTTTTTTTTTTTTTTTTGAGACGGAGTTTCGCTCTTGTTACCCAGGCTGGAGTGCAATGGCGCGATCTCGGCTCACCGCAACCTCCGCCTCCTGGGCTCAGGCAATTCTCCTGCCTCAGCCTCCTAAGTAGCTGGGATTACAGGCATGCACCACCACGCCCAGCTAGTTTTTTTGTATTTTTAGTAGAGACGGGGTTTCACCATGTTGACCATGATGGTCTCGATCTTTCGACCTCGTGATCCACCCGCCTCGGCCTCCCAAAGTGCTGGGATTACAGGCTTGAGCCACCGCGCCCGGCCTACCAAGGTTTCTAATACACTTTTTGTAATGCTAAATTTTAAAAAGCAGAACAGAGAAGTGAATATGTGATATGAACTCAACAATGGAAATACGATGTATAGAAAATGGACTGAGAAAAATTGTGCTGTTATAACTGAAAGCCTGAGACTGGATATTTAAAATTAACAGAAATTTACTGGCTCACAGTTTTTTCTGGAGGCTGGGAAGTCCCAAATCAACTCACCAGTAACTGGCAAGGGCCTTCTTGCTGCATTGTTGCAAGGCAGAATGTGGAAAGGCACAAGTGAACCTGCTCCCTAGAGCCCTTTTTATAATGGTATTAACATATTCATGAGGGTGGAACCCTCATAATTTAAACACCTCCCGTTAGACCTCACCTTCCAACTCTGTCATGTTGGGGATTATGTTTCCAACATACGAATTATGGGGACACATTCAAACCATGTAACGTGCTAAGTATTGTTCTGACTGGTTTGCATGGATTGTCTCATTCGGTTTTGACATTCATACCTACCATTGACCCTTAAACAACGTGGGGGTTAGGGACGACAACCCCTGTGTAGTAAAAAATCTGCATATATAACTTTTGACTCCCCCAGAACTTAACTACTTAAGGAGACCTAGCAACTGAGTGCGTTGTGGGATCCTGAAGCAGAAAAAGGATATAAATGGATAAACTCCTTTTCTTTTTTAAGATCCTGAGTTTGTGTTAACTCCTAACTACTCTAAGTTGGACAAGTCATACAGCCACTCTTAAGATGTAAATAGGTATAATACTGTCTCCTTCAGCTCAGGTGTGGCGAAGCTCAAACAAGGCTCTAATTGTAACACAAATACATCATCATCATTATAGGTTACACTGAAGTGAACTGTTTGTCTCTTTTTTTGCGTGATTCTACCAGTAAAAGCAACAGAGTTTTCTGCCATGGGTAGAATTTACTAAAAAGTCCTCTCTCTCTTTGAAATTTATTAATTTTTTCATCTTCATAGCATTTCAAGCTGCCTTCCGAGCTCAGGGGCCCCTGGCTATGCTGGAGCACTTTGATACTATCTACAGCATTTTACAGTAAGTGAAACACCCAGATGGTACTTTGAAAAGAACTGGTGGCTGTTTGTCCTAATTGTGCATGTTAGTCCTGAAACTTCCTAAGTGCTTTTGGGTATTGATATCTCTGCTGATGAGCATGTGTGCAGCTTGCCACATATTTATTCAGTTGAACAATTTCACGTGTGTTTTTAAGCATTAGATTCCACAGGTTAGATGTGATCTGTTAGAAAGGGCTCTGCAGTCTCCTTCCTATCTCACCCCCACACTTTCTTTCCCTCATAGTCACTTTCGAAGTATAGATCCTGGCCTCAAAGAAGATACTCTGGAATTCCTGATAAAAGGTGTTTGTGGGTCAGCGGGTAGGGGATGGAAGGTGTTTGTTGTCATTTGTTTGTTTATTATTTCCTACATTTTATCAGCCACATGATGATATCAAGGCTGTTGTGATTCAGTTGGTTTGGCTAAGCCCAGGGACGTTTGGCCTGTTAAAGGTCTGTAATCTTGGTGGGCGATACAGAGTTATGTGTGTTCACTGTAAGGGCAGACCAACAAGAACTTTTTCCTACTTTTGAGCTACCTCTTTTTAATAGGGGTGATTCTTCCAGTTGCTGGAGAGAAATTGCGGTAACTGGAGGAAGAGAGTAGGAACAGGGCGTGTTCAGGGTTTCATGGCCAAGGGTCCCAAAGGACTTAGCTTGTATTATGACCGCTGAGAGATGAAACACAGATCTTTGGTAATCTGATGGCTGCGAGTGCTGGTGTTTTGAAGTTGGGCTATATGAAAGAATTAAGTGAAACTGACTCCAAAATTCTGCCCCTCATAGTGGTATCCCGCCACTCCCAGGAGCTTCCAGCTATCCTGGATGATACAACCTTGAGTGTATCAGATCGAAATGCTCATCTAAATGCCCTCAAAATGAACTGCTATGCTCTGATACGACTCTTGGAATCCTTTGAGACCATGACCAGCCGGACAAACCTCATGGACCTGGACCTTGGGGGGAAGGTAAATTTGGAGTTTGGGGCTCACTTGATATGGGGTCTGGGGAGATAGGGGAACGGATGGGAAACGGGGGAATCCAATGATCCTGTGAATCCTTCCTGTCCTCACTGAGAGTTCAGGAGGAAGAACCCAGAAGTATCACACATTTTCTTCCTAGACAGATAGCACTGTGGAACGTGTAATACTTCTTCCATATTACCTTCTATCCTGTCTTGATACTGGATTATTTGGGCACTCAGACTGGCAGATGTTGACCCTCTTCGTTCGCTTATTTTTTCCTCAATGTATACATGATCCTTTTTAGGGTAAGAAAGCTCGGACCAAGGCAGCCCATGGCTTTGACTGGGAAGAAGAGAGGCAACCAATTCTTCAGCTTTTAACACAGCTACTTCAGCTGGACATCCGTCACCTGTGGAACCACTCAATAATTGAAGAAGAATTTGTCAGGTGGGTAGCGAGGATGGCTACAGATAATACTGAGCTGTGAGAGTGAGGCTCTATTGCTAGATATGCCCTTTTTTTTTTTTTTTTTTTTTTTGAGATGAAGTTTCGCTCTTGTCACCCAGGCTGGCGTGCAATGGCACGATCTCAGCTCACCGCAACCTCCACCTCCTGGGTTCAAGTGATTTTCCTGCCTCAGCTTCCCGAGTAGCTGGGATGACAGGCGCCTGTCACCACACCCAGCTAATTTTCATATTTTTAGTAGAGATGAGTTTCTCCATGTTGGCCAAGCTGGTCTGGAACTCCTGACCTCAGGTGATCCACCTGCCTCAGCCTCCCAAAGTGCTGGGATTGCAGGCCTGAGCCCCGGCGCCCGGCTGATCTGCCTTTAATGCTTCATTTCATCCCTTAGTCCTTCTTTTTTCCACACAGAGTCTCTGCGGCCCAGGCTGGAGTGCAGTGGTGTGATCTCAGCTCACTGCAGCCTTAGCCTCCCGAGTAGCTGGGACTACAGGTGCCTGCCGCCATGTCCTTACTTGGTTAGTTCTTTTCTCTTTTTTTCGAGATGGAGGCTCACTCTACCGCCCAGGCTGGAGTGCAGTGACATGATCTCAGCTCGCTGCAACCTCCACCGCCCAGGTTCAAGCAATTATCCTATCTTAGCCTCCCAAGTAACTGGGAATACAGGCACGCGCCACCACACCTGGCTAATTTTCTGTATTTTTAGTAGAGACAGGGTTTCACCATGTTGATCAGGCTGGTCTTGAACTCCTGACCTTTTGATCCGCCTACCTCTGCCTCCCAAAGTGCTGGGATTATATCACCCCTCAGTTCTATATGTAATAAAAGTATCACCATAACATGGAGTTGCTAAGAATTGGATAATGAAATGTTAGAAAGTCATATGAATTCCTTTTATCTCTAAATGTCAATTTATTTATTCCTAAAACAGTATTTACTGAGAATCTCCTAGTTGTGCAGCTGGCACCATTATAGGCACTGGAAACAAAAGTTTCTGCCCTCTTAGATTCTGTACTATAGAGTCTATTTTTAAAATAAGTAAAATAAGTTTGATGGAAGAAGGTTGTGATTTTTAAATCAGCTACTCTATCTAGGCCAGACGCTGTAGCTCACACCTATAATCCCAGCACTTTGGGAGGCCAAGGAAGGTGGGTCACCTGAGATCAGGAGTCAAGACCATCCTGGCCAACATGATGAAACCCTATTTCTACTTTAAAACACACACACAGCTTAGCTGGGTGTCATGGCGAGTGCCTGTAATCCCAGCTACTTGAGGCTGAGGCAGGAGAATCACTTAAACCCAGGAGGTGGAGGTTGCAGTGAGCTGAGATCACAGCATTGCACTCCAGCCTTGACAACAAGAGCAAAATCCTGTCTCAAAAAAAAAAAAAAAAAAAACTCAGATCAATCAATCAGCTACTCTAATAAGACTTCTTTGAGATGGTGACATTTGAGCAAAGACCCAGAGGAGGTGAATGAGGCCTGTGAGAATATGTGGAGGAATAGCAAGGACAAGGAAAAGGAACAGCAAATGTGAAGACCTTGAGGAGGGAGTGTGTCCAGCATGTACTAGCAATAGCAAGGATGCCAGAGAGCTGACAGCTGAGAACGGGGAAGAGGGCTAGGCTGTGAGGCCATGGGAGCAGTGGGGAGCCAGACCGCAGGTTCTTGTGGGCCGTCAAGGTGTCTTTGGCATTTCCTCAGAGTGAGATGGAGCCCTGGGATTTCCAAGCAGGGCAGTGAGGTGACCTGACTTGTACTTTTTTTTTTTTTTTTTTTGAGACGGAGTTTCGCTCTTGTCACCCAGGCTGGAGTGCAATGGCGCGATCTCGGCTCACTGCAACCTCCGCCTCCTGGGTTCAGGCAATTCTCCTGTCTCAGCCTCCTGAGTAGCTGGGATTACAGGCACGCACCACCATGCCCAGCTAATTTTTTGTATTTTTAGTAGAGACGGGGTTTCACCTTGTTGACCAGGATGGTCTCGATCTCTCGACCTCATGATCCACCCGCCTCAGCCTCCCAAAGTGCTGGGATTACAGGCTTGAGCCACCGCGCCCGCCTGGCCTGACTTGTACTTTAACAGGGCCATCCTAGCTGTTATATTGAAATAAACTATGGAGGGAAAGGGGAAGCCAGAGACCTGTTAAGAGGCTTTTCCAGTAACTCAAGCAAGAGATGATGGTCTCTTAGACCAAGGCATGGCAGTGGAAATGGGGAGAAGTAATTGGGTTCTATACTTTTTCCTTAAGGTGGAGCTTACAGAATTTGCTAACAGACTAGGTGTGAGGTGTGAGGGAGAGTCCAATGAAGGATGACTCTCCCGGGTTTTGGCCTGAGCATTTGGAAGACTAAAGTTACTGGTAACTGAGATAAGGAGAAGGCTGTGAATAGGTGTATGGGGAGGAAGATCAGAAGTTCTGTTTTGGACACACAAAGTTTGAGGTGTTTATTAGACAGCCACATAAAGTTGTCAGATTCGGCTGTTGAATATATAGATCTGCACTTCAGGAGAGAGGTCTGAGCTAGGGATAACACATTTGGGAATATAATAGTATTCAAAGCTGTGAGACTGAATGAAATCAGTAAGTGTAGCCAAAAGAGAGTAGAAATCCAAGAACTGGTACCCTAGGCCACTCCAGCATTAATTAAGAGTGAGGAAGCTGGGTGCACGGCTCTCACGCCTATAATCCTAGCACTTTGGGAGGCTGAGGCAGGACGATCGCTTGAGCCAGGAGTTTGAGATCAGCCTGGGCAACGTAGTGAAATTGTGTCTCTACAAAAAATAGGAAAATTAGCTGGGCATGGTGGAGGCTGAGGTGGGAGCATCACCTGAGCTACAAGGAGGTCAAGGATGCAGTGAGCTGTGATCGTGCCACTGCACTCTAGCCTGGGCAACAGAAGCAGACACTGTCTCAAAAAAAAAAAGAGTGTGAGGAACTAGCCAAAGAGACTGAGAAAGGAGTCTTGTTCTTGTGTCCTGGAAGCCAGATGAAGCATTTATTTCAAGAAGAAAGAGTAACTGTATCACATGCAGCTGTGAAAGATCAATTGAGATGAGGATTGAATCAGTTGTTATATTTAGGAATGAGAAGTCACTGGTGACTTTGTTGTACTTTTATCATATATCCAGATTCTTTCTCAGCATTACAACTGATTGCAAGTTGGTAATCTTGAAGGAAGGAGTACCTCAGTGGGGTCAGCAAAGCAAAGCAAAGCAACCTGGTATAGAAGGTCATAGCTAGAATAAAGAAAACTAGAAGACGCTGAGTTTGGGAGCAGTGGGAATGGAATGAGTGAGGCAGGGCAGGCCGCCAATATAAGTGGATCCAGACAGCTGTTTTCATCATCTCAAACTCTTCCTTTCGCAGTTTGGTTACTGGCTGTTGCTACCGCCTTCTGGAGAATCCCACTATTAGTCACCAGAAGAACCGCCCCACTCGGGAAGCCATAACACACCTGCTTGGTGTAGCCCTGACCCGTTACAACCATATGCTCAGTAAGTTACCTATCACTTTGCCCTGCCTTTTTTCATTTTGCCCATAATTTCTCATGTTTAGTGCTTCCACAGGTGCCACGGTGAAGATCATCCAGATGCTGCAGCACTTTGAACACCTGGCATCTGTACTGGTCACAGCTGTGAGTCTATGGGCAACTCACTATGGAATGAAGAGCATAGTGGGAGAGATTGTAAGGTGACTCTTCCATCTCAAAGTTTCTCATGCTCATTTTCTTCGGGGAGGGAATAAAGAAAGATTGGAAATATATTGTCTGTGCAACAGTAGCTTCCTTCAGATGTTAGATACCTGTCTTACCTTCCCTTACTGGGAACTGAATAATTGAGCTATGTTGCTGTGGCTGTTTTCTTCTCTGTGTAGAGAGATTGGACAAAAGTGTCCCCAAGAGTTGAGTCGAGATCCTGCAGGGACAAAGGGCTTTGCAGCATTCCTGACAGAATTAGCAGAACGTGTCCCAGCTATCCTGATGTCTAACATGTGCATTTTGCTAGATCACCTGGAAGGAGAGGTAGGTGGTCCCCTAGGGATCTCTAAGCTTCTTCCGGGGATTTGAAGTCCAGTGTTGAAAGGCTGTTTCTTAACAGAACAAGAAAGTAGCTTTGACAAGTTGTCTAGATTTATCATTGTGACATTCCTTTCTGTAGAGAAGCAGGTCAAGTTTGTTGAATAAGGTGCTCTTTATTCTATTAATCTAATCTTTGAATTCACATTGCTTTTATCCAGTTCTGGTAGGAGAGATGACATTTCTGCAGCTTAAGTCTAGTTAAGAGCAACTCAGCTTTGGTTTATTTATTGGAGGCAGAGTCTGGCTCTGTCGCCCATGCTGGAGTACAGTGGTGCAATTATAGCTCATTGCAGCCTCGATTCCTGGCCTCAAGCAGTCCTCCCACCTTACCTTCCAAGTAGCTGGGACTTCAGCCACATACTACCATGCCTAACTCATTTTTTTATTTTTTTGTAGAGATGGAATCTTGCCATATTGCCCAGGCTAGTCTCAAACTCCTGGTCTCAAGCAACCCTCCTGCCTCAGCCTCCCAAAGTGCTGGAATTACTGGCACTGCCATGCCTAGCCTTGAGCTTTGATTGAGTCCTGTCTATTTCTCAGGATAAAGCATCTTCCCACCAACTGGCAAATCAACCCATGTCATCTCTCTCAATTCTCTCTCATCCCTGAATGCTAACTGGATGATTCCAAAACTGATGTTAGGTACTCCTAGGTGAATGTCAAGGACCAAGACTGTCCACATATTCATCTAATTTACTTTTTGTGCAGGACCCTATTTTCTGGTTCTTGGCCTGGCAAAACGTTAATCCTGCTTCTCCATCAGATTATGTATTGGACTTCCTGGCACCCTAAGGCTGATTTCCATGTTTCTGCCTCATTTTCTGTCAGTAAAGCATTGGAAGGAGAGTGGGAGGAAACGGAGGGGATATTTATTAGTAAGAATCAAAGGCTTTGAGGCCGGGTTTGGTGGCTCACGCCTGTAATCCTAACACTTAAGGGAGGCTGAGGTGGGTGGATCGCTTGAGGTCAGGAGTTCAAGACTAGCCTGGCCAACATAGTGAAACCTGGTCTCTACTAAAAATATTTTTAAAATTAGCTGGGCATGGTTGCACATGCCTATAACCCTAGCTAGCAGGAGGGTGAAGTGGGAGGATTGCTTCAACCCGGGAAATGGAGGTTACAATGAGCCAAGATAATACCACTGCACTCCAGCCTGGGTGACAAAGCAAGACTCCATCTCAAAAAACAAAACAGCCAGGAGCAGTGGCTCACGCCTGTAATCCCAGTCCTTTGGGAGGCCAAGGCAGGCAGATTATGAGGTCAGGAGTTCGAAACCAGCCCGGCCAACATGGTGAAACCGTGTCTCTACTAAAAATACAAAAATTAGCAGGCGCCCGTAGTCCCAGCTATTCATGAGGCTAAGGCAGAAGAATCGCTTAAACCTAGGAGGCAGAGGTTGCAGTGAGCCAAAATCGCACCACTGTGCTCCAGCTTGGGCAACAGAGTAAGACCATCACAAAAAAAAAAAAAAAAAGAACAACAAAGGCTGTGAGATCAGCTGAAGGGTAGTCATAAATGCTTTTCAAGTATGTGTTGGTGAGTGGATGTGATTACTACTGCCATGCTTTCCTGTGTGAGTCCTATGAGAAAAAACTGTTTTTGGCACCTGTTTGTTCCAGCATTCTCTGAGCAAGAACTCCTCTTTGGGATTCGGCTTTTTTCTGTGACCTCAGGATTGAATACCTAGGCAGTTAATCGGAAAAGCTGCGGCCAAACACAAGCAAGCTTTGCCTCAACTAAAGGCCTTATCCCCTCTATGCACCTCTCTCTTAGAATTACATGATGCGTAATGCTGTGCTGGCAGCCATGGCAGAGATGGTACTGCAGGTTCTGAATGGCGATCAGCTGGAGGAAGCAGCCCGAGACACCAGAGACCAGTTCCTGGATACTTTACAAGCCCACGGCCATGATGTCAACTCCTTTGTGCGGAGCCGTGTTTTGCAGCTCTTCACCCGAATTGTCCAGCAGAAGGTAAGCAGCCACATAGGTAAGCAGCCTTCTATGTGGCAAAGACATCTGGTAGGCCTCTATATACCAGCGTAAAGAAGAATCCAGTGTTGAAGGTAAATATCTGCCCAAAGAAGTCTAGAATTCACTTTTTTATTATCAGTAATAAAGCCCTCATCTACCAAGGACAAGGATACCTGGCTCCCTTTAAGGACTCCAAAGTGTCTTGTCACTACAAGCAGTACTCCTAATTTATATTCTGTAGAAAGGTTTTTTAGAGTGAGTGAGTAGCTCAGTTTGGAGTACGCTTCAACTCATCTTGAACAAAATGGATGATGTGGGACTTGAGCAGGTTCTTCCCTTCCCCCTCTACACAGGCTCTCCCCCTGACACGTTTCCAGGCAGTGGTGGCTTTAGCTGTGGGACGTCTGGCAGACAAGTCAGTGCTAGTCTGTAAAAATGCCATCCAGCTGCTGGCCAGTTTTCTAGCCAATAATCCTTTTTCCTGCAAGGTAAGTAGACTTGGTCCACCAAAAGAGAAGGAATTAAATGGAAACAGGGATGAAATTATGTAATTTACTGACCCTGCTATTCATTTTGCCTGATAGCTTAGTGATACTGACCTTGCTGGACCACTGCAGAAGGAGACCCAGAAATTGCAGGAGATGAGGGCCCAGAGGCGAACTGCAGCTGCTTGTAAGTAGTTACTGCCTTGGAGTCCGAACCCCAGACAGGCTTCTCCTTGCAGTCAGAAACCCCCGTGAAAGAGACTAAGCGAGACTGTCATTCAGCTGCAGTGCTGGACCCAGAGGAGGAGTGGGAAGCCATGCTGCCAGAGTTGAAGTCTACCCTGCAGCAGCTTCTCCAGCTTCCCCAGGGAGAGGAGGAGATTCCTGAGCAAATTGCCAATACAGAGACCACTGAAGAGGTGAAAGGACGCATCTATCAACTGCTTGCCAAGGCTAGTTACAAGTAGGCAAAACAGTGGGATATTCGTCATGATCTGTTTATGCTTAGAGTTAACTTTTGAGAAACTAACCTAATGTTTCTTTGAAATGAACTGCACTCAGATATGCTGCCACCAGATGATGGTAGATGTTTCCATGTAGATAGGCATAGTCCACAATTAAGCATGTGTTTCTACTTTATAAATGTTTCAAGAAACTACTGAAACAATTAAATGTTAACAGTATTATCAAACCTTAGTCCTCCTTCAACTGAAGAAGAGAGCCTATAAGTTTGTAAGTTCTAATTGTATGATCTTGAATAAGTTGCTTGAATTTTTGGGCCTTTTTCATTATCTGTAAAATAAGAAATTGATTAGATCTTATGATCATTAATGACTTTCTAATTCTAAATTTCATGAGCTAATATCAAACTTGCCTAATACTACCTTAATCTTCAAACCTCCTGTGAATCCTGATCTTAGAGAAAAGATTTCTCCTAGTGTTTTTGTGACTCTAAAACTTCAGAACAGCTTAACAACAAAAGCCCTTATAGCTGTCAACAAGTTGTGGTTTTTTTTGTTCTGTTTTGTTTTTTTGAGACAGAGTCTCACTCTGTTGCCCAGGCTGGATGGAGTACAGTTGCACGATCTCGGCTCACTGCAACCTCAGCCTCCTGGGTTCAAGCAATTCTCGTTCCTCAGCCTCCCAAGTAGCTGGGACTACAGGCACACACCACCACACCCAGCTAATTTTTGTATTTTTAGTAGAGATGGGGTTTCACCATGTTGGCCAGGCTGGTCTGGATCTCAGGTGATCTGCCCGCCTCAGCCTCCCAAAGTGCTGGGATTACAGGCGTGAGCCACTGCGTCCAGCTGCCAGCAAGTATTCCTAAACCTCAGCCACAAGGTATTTGTTATTTATTTAATTCTTTACCTAACGGGGCTGTTTTTAAAAGGCTAGAGAGTGGCTTGTTTGCCCTGTGACTCCCTTATGTCTCTTTAGTGTCCTCTTTTTATTTTGCTAAAGCAAAAATAGAGACTATAGTTTTAGAATTGCATCTTCCACCAAGTAAACTAATATCTTCTCCTGTCAATTAGAAGAGGGAGGGTTGGTTGGTTGGTTGTATGGAGACAGGATCTCACTGTTGCCCAGGCTGGAGTGCAGTAGCACGATCACAGCTCACTGCAGCCTCTCTCTGTGGCCTCAACTTGCCAGGGCTCAAGCTGTCTCCCACATTAGCCTCCCGAGTAGCCTGGCTAATTTTTATATTTTTGGTAGAAGCAGGGTTTTGCCAAGTTGCACAGGCTGGTCTCAAACTCCTGGACCCAAGCAGCCTGCCCACCTTGGTCTCCCAAAGTGTCAGGATTACAGGCATGAGCCACCAGGCCCAGCTGGAAGAAGGTTTCTTCTCATGGTAAAGATTTCGCCCCTACTTCAGAAATCCTCAGCAGTAGATGCTGGAGGTTAAATTCTTAATAACTAAGTTTTTTGCCTCACAAACAGCAGCGTTTCTTCTCTGCATTTTGTATTGTCTGCTTTAACTTTGTGTAACTTTAAGGTTTCTGCCTACAATTTTGGGGGTAGCTGGTATCACCAGATTGTCTTCCCCATCTTGCAGATAAGGAAAAACAAATCAAGTTAGATAACTTGACTGTCACAAACAGCTAGTAAATAGCAGAGCTGGCCCCAAGTATTCAGATTACAAATCCAGAGGAGCTGTATTGCCTGCAGTTACAAATTTAAACATGCATTGTTATAAAACTTTCTTTTTCTTTTTTTTTTTTTTTTAAAATTAATAGAGTCAGGGCCTTTGTTGCCCAGGCTGAACTTGAATTTCTGGGTTGACGTGATCCTCCTCCAATAGCCTCCCAAGTACTAACTGGGACTATAGGTGAATGCCACCGCACTTGGCTTAGAATAAAACTTTTTAATTTTAATTTAATTTTATTTATTCTTTTTGAGACGAGGTTTCACTCCGTCACCTATACTAGAGTGCAGTGGCACAATCAGAGCTCACTGTAGCCTCCACCTCCTGGGCACATGTGTTCCTCCCCCCTCAGCCTCCCGGATAGCTAGGACTACTGATGTGCACCACCACGCCTGGCTAAGTTTTTTGTATTTTTTTTGTAGAGATGGGGTTTTGCCATGTTACCCAGGCTGTTCTCAAACTCTTGGACTCAAGGGATATGCCCACCTTGGCCTTTCAACGTGCTGGGATTACAGGCATAAGCCACTGGGCCTGACTTAAATGATTTTTTTTTTTTTTTTTTTTTTTTAAGAAGGGGTTTCAAAAAAATAAAAAATAATAAAAAATAAAAAAAAAAAAAAAAGAAGAAGGGGTTTCACCCTGTTGGTCAGGCTGGTCTTGAACTCCCAACCTCAGGTGATCCGTCCGCCTTGGCTTCCAAAGTGCTTAGATTACAGGCGTGAGCCACCACGCCTGGCCTAAATGATTGTTTTTTAAAACAACTTTGTTAAAAGCTGAAATATACTTTTAAAAAATTAGGTAGTACAGTACATTTACATGGTGCAAAATTTAAAATCACAAAAGGGCATGCCCCGAAAAGTCCCCTCCAAACCTATTTCCCAGCCACTTAGTTCCCCTTCCCACAGGAAGGCAATGTTAATAATTAATTGGGGCTAGGTGGGGTGGCTCACACCTGTAATCTCAACGCTTTGGGAGACTGAGCCGAAGATTGCTTGAGCCCACAAGTTTGAGACCAGCCTGGACAACATGGCAAGAAGAAAGTAACATGCAGACAAACGTTTTCTTTTATCCCCCTTTTGCATAACTGATAGAATTCTCGGCCGGGCGCGGTGGCTCAAGCCCGTAATCCCAGCACTTTTGGAGGCCGAGGCAGGTGGATCACGAGGTCAAGAGATCGAGACCATCCTGGGCAACATGGTGAAACCCCGTCTCTACTAAAAATACAAAAAAAAGTAGCTGGGCATGGTGGCACATGCCTGTAATCTGAGCTACTTAGGAGGCTGAGGCAGGAGAATTGCCTGAACCCAGGAGGTGGAGGTTGCGGTGAGCCGAGATCGCGCCATTGCACTCCAGCCTGGGTAACAAGAGCGAAACTCCATCTCAAAAAAAAAAAAAAAAAGAATTCTCTACCCATTGATCTACCATCTTGCTCTTTTCACTTAACTATGTGTCTCAGTGGTTTCTTAAAATATTTATGGCTGGGTGCGGTGGCTCACACCTGTAATTCCAGCACTTTATAAGGTCGAGGCAGGCGGATCACAAGATCAGGAATTCAAGACCAGCCCAGCCAACATGGTGAAACCCTGTCTCTACTAAAAATACAAAAATTAGCCAGGTGTGGTGGTGCGCATCTGTAATCCCAGCTACTTGGGAGGCTGAGGCAGGAGAATCGCTTGAACCCAGGAGGCAGAGATGCAGTGAGCCAAGATTGTTCTACTACACTCCAGCCTGGGTGACAGAGCAAGACTCCATCTCAGAAAAAGAAAAAAAATTATACATGGCCGGGCGCGGTGGCTCACGCCTGTAATCCCAGTACTTTGGGAGCCTGAGGCTGGTGGATCTCTTGAGGCCAGGAGTTGGAGGCCAGCTTGGCCAACATGGCAAAACCCCATACTACAATTGCAAATATTGGCCAGTGTGGTGGCACATACCTGTAATCCAAGCTATTTTAGGAGCTGAGGCATGAGAATCACTTGAACCCAGGAAGTGGAGGTTGTAGTGCACCAAGATCATGCCACTACACTTCAGCCTGCGTGATAGAACAAGACTGTCTCTAAAAAAATAATAAATTTATACATAAATAGTTTCCCACTCTCCTTTTTTTTTTTTTTTTTTTTTTTTTTTTTTTTTGAGAGAGAGAGAGAGGGTCTCACTCTGTTGCCCCTGCTGGAGTACAATGGTATGATCACAACTCACTGCATCTTTGATCTCCCAGGCTCAAGTGATCCGCCCACCTCCGCTCCCTTAAATAGCTGAGCGCACAGGTGCACACCATCACACCCGGCTAACCTTTTTTACTTTTTGTATAGATGGGTCTCCCTGTGTTGCCCAGGCTGATCTCAAATTCATGGACTCACGTGTCCCCATTATTTTTTACGGCTACATAGAATCTTATTGTATGGATGTGCCTGAATTAACTAATTATTGAAGGTTTATTGTTTCTAAACTTAGGAAAGTTTTTAAACAGGTGTTTGGAGTAGGTTTCTGATTTTAAAGCTTTAAAAAGCCTTATTGGCATTTTTTTGAATACTAGTGATGCCGTGTAGCTTCAGAAATAGGAAAAGTGTTTGCAAATGAACAATTGCGAAAGAAAATAGGAAAAGTGTTTTGAACCCTACCCCTTAGTAGGTGTTACACAACTTTTTAAGCATGTTAAGAGCCCCTATTCTCTGGGCAGTAGGTCCAGGGACTTGATAGAATCATGAGGTAAGCTCCCTTACAAATGCAGTGACATTCTTCTGGATGCTGACAGGCTGGTGTTCTTTCAGACAGGCCATCATTCTCACTCGAGAAGCCACAGGACACTTCCAGGAGTCCGAGCCCTTCAGTCATGTAGACTCAGAGGGGTCAGAGGAGACCAGGCTCTTGAATATCTTAGGAATTATCTTCAAAGGTAATCATTTTCCTTCTTCAGTCAATAAACAGCACACATCAACTAATACTTAACTGAGCATTTACTTTATGCCATCCATTGGCCTGGTTAAGAACCTGGTGCTGAAAGGGCCCAGAGATGAATTGGCATTGCTTCTGCTCTGGAATGGAAGCAGCCCATGGACCTAAGATTGATAGTCACAGGGTGACTGTCTAGAACATAGAGGGCTTTAGGTATGGTTTTTGAGAAATTAAGATATTTTAGAATAGGTTCTCATTTCATATCTTCACATTGTGGAAAGAAATATCTAGGGCCAGGTGTGGTGGCTTATGCCTGTTATCTTAGCACTTTGGGAGGCCAAGGCAGGAGGATCGCCTGAGCCCAGAAGTGCAAGATCAGCTTGGGCAACATGGCAAAACCCCCATCTCTACAAGAAATACCAAAATAATTAGCCAGGTGTGGTGGCATACGCCTGTAGTCCCAGCTTGGAAGGCTGAAGTGAGAGAATCACCTGAGCCCAGCGAAGTTGAGGCTATAGTGAGCAGTGATCATGCCACTGCACAGCCTGGGCAACAGAGTGAGACCCCCATTCCCAGAGGAAAAAAGAAGGAAAATAAATAAATATCCAGGGATGCTGACAGCTGTTGGATTCCCCTGTATCCCCTTGAACGAAACCATCCTGTACTTCTCTGACTCCTTAGGCCCAGCAGCTTCCACACAAGAAAAGAATCCCCGGGAGTCTACAGGAAACATGGTCACAGGACAGACTGTCCGTAAAAACAAACCCAGTGTGTCAGAGCCTGAGGAATCGAGGAGGAATGACGAACTGGTGAAGCAGGAGATGCTGGTACAGTATCTGCAGGATGCCTACAGCTTCTCCCGGAAGATTACGGAGGCCATTGGCATCATCAGCAAGATGATGTATGAAAACACAACTACAGGTATGCCAGAGTCCTCTTCTGTAAGAACAGGCTTGGGCTTCTTTTGTATTTTTAAAATTTTTTAAATTTTTATTAATAATAGAGATGGAGTCTTCCTATGTTGGCCAAGCTGGTCTCAAACTCCTGGGCTCAGATGATCCTTCTGCATCAGCCTCCCAAAGTGCTGGTATTACAGGTGTGAGCCACTGTACCCAGCCATGGATCTTGGAGTTCCTGCCCATATTTTATTGATATATCTTATCTACTCCTTTAAAAGGCAGGAGTTCTCAGTTGGGTGCAATGGCTTCTGCCTGTAATCCCAACACATGGGGAGGCCAAAGCAGGAGGACAGGTTGAGGCCCAGAGTTTGAGACCAGCCTGGGCAACATAGCAAGACCCCATTTCTACAAAGAAACAAAAATTAGCTTGGCGTGATGACATGCACCTGTAGTTCCAACTACCTGGAAGGCTGGGGCAGGAGGATTGCTTGAGCCTAGGAGTTTGAGGCTGCAGTGAGCTATGGTCATGCCACTGCGGTCCAGCCGGAGCAACAGAATAAGAACCCGTGTCTTAAAAAAAAAAAAAGGCAGTGCTTTTTATTTCTATTTGCTTCCTCTAGCCACTTACAGCTTATACATTGTAATTCGTGTAGAATTTCATGATAAGGCATTATAGGAGGAGTCGACATTCTCAGGGAAAGCGAGGAAGGCCTCCGCTTGCATCTTGCTACATTCAGAAAGGTTCTGTCTTTAGGTATTGGGGAAGTTTTACCAAGTAGATGGGTGACATTTGTACGTGTTCTCTCAGTGGTGCAGGAGGTGATTGAATTCTTTGTGATGGTCTTCCAATTTGGGGTGCCCCAGGCCCTGTTTGGGGTGCGCCGCATGCTGCCTCTCATCTGGTCTAAGGAGCCTGGTGTCCGGGAAGCTGTGCTTAATGCCTACCGCCAACTCTACCTCAATCCCAAAGGGGACTCTGCCAGGTATGTGGGGTGCTTTTGCCTTTGCTGACTTTTCCAAGGTCAGCTTCTCACAGCACTCCCCTTGTCTCCTAAAGGAAGAGGTACATTTCTCCAGAGGACTTCAGATCCATAAGCAGTCCATCATAATGGGGCTTGAGTGGGGCTGGGTTCCCAGGGAAAGCAGTTATTTGACACTGGTGGGATAGCCCTAATCACTATTTGACAAGTTCAGCTTCCCAGTCTTATAATCACCCCTGATCTCTGCTGTTCCCACAGAGCCAAAGCCCAGGCTTTGATTCAGAATCTCTCTCTGCTGCTAGTGGATGCCTCGGTTGGGACCATTCAGTGTCTTGAGGAAATTGTAAGGCTTCCTGCTTTCTTCCTTTCTTCATTCAACAAGTATTATTGAGTTATTACTATGCATTTCTCAATTTACTTCGTCCCAGAAAGAAGTATAAGACTTGTTTTCATGTTTCCAACTGTAAAGGAGCCTGCCAGTTGGTAGTCAAAAACCACAGAACATCGTTAGAGCAGTGCAGCAGGTATATGATACAGTGCCAGAGTAAGTTTTACAGGTAATGGTTGTCATAGCAATAACATAACAGCATCGCTCATACGGTATTGAATATATGACAGGCACTTGCACTCACATTACTCACGGTAACTTGTTTAATCCTCACAGCAGCCCTGTGAGGTAGTATTATCTGGATTTTACAATGAGAAATCTGAGGCACAGAGAAGTTTAAGAACGTAGCTGGTTACAGCTAATTAGTGGCAAAGTTTGAGATTCAAACTCGGGCAATAATAAGAGCTTTAGAAAATATACTCTTGGCTGGGCACAATGGCTTATGCCTATAATCCCAGCACTTTGGGAGGCTGAGGCAGGCAGATCACCTGAGGTCAGGAGTTCAAGACCACCCTGACCAATATGGTGAAATGTCTCTGCTAAAAATTAGCCGGGCATGGTGGCGGGTGCCTGTAGTCCCAGCTACTCAGGAGGCTGAGATAGGAGAATTGCTTGAACCTGGAAGGTGGAGGTTGCAGTCAGCCGAGATTGTGCTACTGCACTGCAGCCTGGGCGATAGAGTGAGACTCTTATCTCAAAAAAAAAAAAATTAGGCCAGGCGTGGTGACTCACTTCTGTAATCCCAGCACTTTGGGAGGCCGAAGCAGGTGGATCACGAGGTCAAGAGATCGAGACCACCCTGGCCAACATAGTGAAACCCCATCTCTACTGAAATATAAAAAGTAGCTGGGCATGGTGGCTCACATCTGTAGTCCCAGCTACTCGGGAAGCTGAGGCAAGAGAATTGCTTGAACCCAGGAGGCGGAGGTTGCAGTGAGCCAAAATTACACCACTGCACTCCTGCCTGGCGACAAAGCAAGACTCTGTCTCAAAAAAAAAAAAATCATCTGGAAAAGATAATAAAATTGGGAATGGAGGCTGGGACCAAACTGTGGAAGTCTCTGAATGACTTCAGGAATCTGGGACTCTTAACTGTTAGCCAGACACCCAGCATTTTAGTGAGACAATTCTGCTTTGTAGCATTTGCATTGTGGGCACAAAGAGTGGAGGTGGCACTGACCTCCAGCTCCCGCTGGGAAGAGCATTCCTGCCAGCCACATTTTTCTCCTCACTGGAGAAAAGAAAACAGCCTGTTGGTGACGATTGCCCCACTGTGTCATAGGCCAGTTACCTGCAGAAGCCCTGCAAGAGGCAGGGGAGAGCAGCTGCAAATTGGGGTGCAGCAGAAGTGACCTGGGGGAAGCAGAGGCTGGGGAGACCGACCTATGGAACAGGAAGGCCAGTGGAGGCTGCTGGAGTGGGCAATAATGAGGGGCTGGACTTGGGGACTGGAGAAATTGCTACAGAATGGGCTTCATGGAAGACAAATTTTTAAAGGAAAAATAGACAAGACTAAGTGACTAATTTGTATAAAAAAAATTGGGTGACTGAAATTTTAAGCACATGTAACGGAGAGAGTGTTGATAGCATTGGCAAAATGAAAAGGCAAGGATGGATGATGGCTTCCATGTTAGACATGTCAAGTTTGTGGTCATGGCAAGAAAATCTGTTAGAAATCTCCATACTTAGAACTATGGATCCACATGGAACTCAAAAGGTCAATTTTGGTAAGTCACTTGAATAAATACAGGTTCGAAGGCATGAGAGTAGAAAAGTGGAGGATGGGAAGCGATGGGCCTCTCAAGCCGCTGCTTTACATTTTGAGCCTCCTCTTTCTTTTTCCATTCCTAAGTACTGCCTTTGTCCACTTCAGGTTCTCAATATAGTCTTCAGAGAAGTGGACCAAAGATAAAGGGATTGTTATTTTTTTGGCTGGAGTCCTTTTTCTTTTCTCCTTAGCTCTGCGAGTTTGTGCAGAAGGACGAGGTGAAACCGGCAGTGACCCAGCTGCTGTGGGAACGGGCCACCGAGAAGGTCGCCTGCTCTCCTCTGGAACGCTGTTCCTCTGTCATGCTTCTCGGCATGATGGCACGGTGAGGCTCCCGCCCCGGCAGGCCGTGGGGTGGGGGAGCAAAGGGGGTTCTGAGAAGGCTCCTTTTCCTTCAGTCATCAGTGAGGCCCAGCTGAGCTCTGCTGTGAGTTAGAAATTAGAGTACCAGCCCTCCTGCCTAGCAGAAGTAGTGGGATCCAGTAAAGCAGCAGGGCCCGAGGGGCTGGCCCTGTGTCAGAGCCTCCCCGTAGTGTGCCAAGGCTCTAGACACTGTGTGGGGTACTAGTACCTATTGCTGTTGGCCCTTCCCCCCATAACTGCCTTGACCTCTGTGGCTTCCTTCCCCTAGAGGAAAGCCAGAAATTGTGGGAAGCAATTTAGACACACTGGTGAGCATAGGGCTGGATGCAGAGTTTCCACAGGACTACAGGCTGGCGCAGCAGGTATGCCATGCCATTGCCAACATCTCCGACAGGAGAAAGGTATGTGGGCGTGGTTCCGAACTCAGGAGAGCGGAGGTCCTCCCGGCCGCCCTGTGCAAGCACCCACACTGTCTTGTTCCCCACAGCCTTCTCTGGGCAAACGTCACCCCCCCTTCCGGCTGCCTCAGGAACACAGGTTGTTTGAGCGACTGCAGGAGACGGTCACAAAAGGTGAGCTCTCAGGAACGGCCTTGGGCAGAGTCGGGCCCTTTGTTGCAGTGAACAGCTTCTCCCTTCTCCTCTACAGGCTTTGTCCACCCAGACCCACTCTGGATCCCATTCAAAGAGGTGGCAGTGACCCTCATTTACCAGCTGGCAGAGGGCCCCGAAGTGATCTGTGCCCAGATATTGCAAGGCTGTGCAAAACAGGCTCTGGAGAAGCTAGAAGAGAAAAGAACCAGTCAGGAGGACCCGAGTAAGTGAGCAGGGGCTGACCTACTTCGGCAGCCAGCTTCTGTTTTCCTACAGGGCCGGGAGCCACTGCCGCCACCACTTCCTACAACGGCCCTTGTTTGTCCAAGTCCAAGTTGGGCCAGTTCCCACCCTCATGTCTCACTACTTCACTGGTTAGAATAGCATGTGAGCAAGGGGAAGATCAGTAAAAACCAGATTAGCCGGGCGCGGTGGCTCAAGCCTGTAATCCCAGCACTTTGGGAGGCCGAGGCGGGTGGATCACGAGGTCGAGAGATCGAGACCATCCTGGTCAACATGGTGAAACCCCGTCTCTACTAAAAATACAAAAAATCAGCTGGGCATGGTGGCGCGTGCCTGTAATCCCAGCTACTCAGGAGGCTGAGGCAGGAGAATTGCCTGAACCCAGGAGGCGGAGGTTGTGGTGAGCCGAGATCGCGCCATTGCACTCCGGCCTGGGTAACAAGAGCGAAAACTCAGGCTCAAAAAAAAAAAAAAAAAAAACAGATTCAGGCTTGATGGGACTTAAGGATGTCTCTTTGCCCTGCTTTCCTCTCCCTCTCTCCAGAGGAGTCCCCCGCAATGCTCCCCACTTTCATGTTGATGAACCTGTTGTCCCTGGCGGGGGATGTGGCTCTGCAGCAGCTGGTCCACTTGGAGCAGGCAGTGAGTGGAGAGCTTTGTCGGCGCCGAGTTCTCCGGGAAGAACGGGAACACAAGACCAAAGATCCCAAGGCGAAGGTGTGTGACTGTCCTAAGCACTTCCCAGATTTATTTCATTACCTCAGCTCAGAACTGAGCTGATCCCATTCTGGCAATCTGCTCCTCTGCTATTACATGAAGCGGAGAATTTCTGCCTCTCTGTGGCTACTACCCTAGGAAAGATTCGTGTGAACATGATGAAACTATCAGTGATCACCCAGGAAGGAAAGATTTAGGTAAACGCAGAGTGTGGAGTTAGAGACCTCAGCATAAAATAGAGGCTTTTCGTCTGAGGCAGGGTTTGTTAGAACATGCACACACCCGCCCGCCTTTTCCACCAGCCTTCGTTACTGGCCTGGCCCCACTGGGGCCTTGTGGTCTCTCCACTAGAGGCAGTGATGTCTTGCAGACAAGTAAGAGATAGAGCCTTGCAGCACTGGAGAAAAGTCTGACCTTCTCTGTGACTTTGAAGCCTTAGGTCTGACATGATCCATCTGTGTACCCTCTATAGGAAGTTAGGTGTAGAAACACACTTTGGCAACTTCAGAACAAACAGGGACCTCATTGTTTCCCTGTTTAATTCAGGCATCTTTTCTCTTTACAGACACATTTGGTAATTCCCTAAATGCTTTTGTGGAATTTGCCTTTCTTCATTTTCTTCATGCAAAATAAAAGTATGGGCTGGAATCGGGAATGTTGTCTCTACTTACCCATAGTCCCCGGCTTGATTCCTTTTAGAATGCAAGCTCTGAGACCACCATGGAGGAGGAGCTGGGGCTGGTTGGAGCAACGGCAGATGACACGGAGACAGAGCTGATCCGCGGCATCTGCGAGATGGAACTGTTGGATGGTAAGAGAAATGGCTGCGCTCAGCAGGTTCTCCCCAACTGAGATAACCTGTCCCAGACTTGCAGTTACTCTTCCAACAGGCAAGCAGACCCTGGCTGCCTTCGTTCCACTCTTGCTTAAAGTCTGCAACAACCCAGGCCTCTACAGCAACCCTGACCTCTCTGCAGCTGCTGCACTTGCCCTTGGCAAGTTCTGCATGATCAGGTAGGCCCTGGGGTTGCTATCACCTTCCCAAGGAAGATGGGGATGACAACGGCTCCCCTGATGATCCTCTTCTTGCCCCTAGTGCCACCTTCTGTGACTCCCAGCTTCGTCTTCTGTTCACCATGCTAGAAAAGTCTCCACTTCCCATTGTCCGGTCTAACCTCATGGTTGCCACTGGGGATCTGGCCATCCGCTTTCCCAATCTGGTGGATCCCTGGACTCCTCATCTATATGCTCGGTAAGAGACCCCTCACAACATGGCAGGAGTTCCCCAGAGCGCCAGAGTCTGTTCAGAGTCAGTGTGAGAATCACCAGGACTCTTCCCCTAGGCTTTGGCATCTCCTGGAACATCTGCTTGATACTTAACCCATACAGGCCCCTGGCTAAGAGTCACCCCAGTAGGACTGACTTTTCTCTTCTTTCCCTCACTCCAGCTTTCAACTCTAGACAGCTTTCTGGCTGCTTCCGGAGTGGCGTAGCATGGGGTAATTGATTCCTGCTGAGGGCCTTTTCTACCAGTGTTAGGGTATAGTCCAGAGGTCTTGGTCTGTGGGGACAGCCTGCAATTCCATTCCTAGCCTCCGGGACCCTGCTCAGCAAGTGCGGAAAACAGCGGGGCTGGTGATGACCCACCTGATCCTCAAGGACATGGTGAAGGTGAAGGGGCAGGTGAGCGAGATGGCGGTGCTGCTCATCGACCCCGGGCCTCAGATTGCTGCCCTGGCCAAGAACTTCTTCAACGAGCTCTCCCACAAGGTGAGAGGCAGAGAGGCACTGAGGACTTGCTGCAGAGGGAATATGTAGGTCACCTCGTCTCTTTAATTAACAGGGCTCTGTCTGTCTTACAGGGCAACGCAATCTATAATCTCCTTCCAGATATCATCAGCCGCCTGTCAGACCCTGAGCTGGGGGTGGAGGAAGAGCCTTTCCACACCATCATGAAGTATTGCTCCCCGGGCGCTCGGGGCACATTTTCCACATAGCAGGGGCTTAGGAAGCAGACACACCTGTATTTGAATTCCGCCTTGGCTACTTTTTAGCTGTACAGCCTTTGCCATAACTTAGCCTCTCTGTGCCTATTTCCACTTCTTTTGAGGCTCATGATACTTAACTCTTAGTTCTTGAAAATATTAAATAAGATAAAGTTCCTAACATGGTGGCAGGCATACAATAGCACTCACTACATAGCAGCTGTTCCTGTTAATTTCCATTCACAGTGAAAATTCCTGAGGTGGGGGGTCCTTCTCTGCTGAATGGGACAGGGCAAGGGGACTGGTGAGGCAGGCGGGGGCCATGGCAGCACATCAGAGAAGACGCTGGTGCTGCGGAGGGTCCGGAGTTGGTCTTAGTGGATGGGAGAGCTGGCTCTGGGCCATCACACATCCTCGTCCCCCTTCCTGCAGGCAGCTCCTCTCCTACATCACCAAGGACAAGCAGACAGAGAGCCTGGTGGAAAAGCTGTGTCAGCGATTCCGCACAGCCCGGTACGCTGCCCTCCCTGAGACTCCTTTGTGCTGAGAGGGGCCCTGCAGGGGAGAGAGGCCTGTCCCCCACCCCGTCGGTCTGTCCCCCGCTCTCCCCGTTGGTATCCCTGGGGCTGGGGAGGCTGATGGGGCAGGTTGAGCCTTTGCTAGCTGCATCTCACAGTTCCTCACGAAGCCCTTCCTGTCTGCAGAACTGAGCGGCAGCAGCGGGACCTGGCCTACTGTGTGTCACAGCTGCCCCTCACAGAGCGAGGCCTCCGCAAGATGCTTGACAATTTTGACTGCTTTGGAGACAAACTGTCAGATGAGTCCATCTTCAGTGCTTTTTCGTCAGTTGTGGGCAAGCTGCGACGTGGGGCCAAGCCTGACGGCAAGGTGAGCGGCCCAGGACACTCCATCGCCTGTCGGGTTCCCTCGTCTGCTGACCCTAGGCAGCCCGTCCTAGCTCTTGCAGTCGCGTTCCCGTCCTACTCATCCCCAGCTTGGTTGCAACCAAATTGCCAGAGTGACCCAAGACCAGATCTTTCTTGTCTCTGATTCTTTTTTTTTTTTTGAGACAAAGTCTTGCTCTGTTACCAGGCACCAGGCTGGAGTGCAGTGGTGTGATCTCTCACTTCAAGCAATTCTCCTGCCTCAGCCTCCCAGGTAGCTGGAACTACAGGCACGCGCCACCATGCCCAGCTAATTTTTATGTTTTAGTAGAGATGGGGTTTCACTACTTTGGCCAGGATGGTCTCCATCTCTTGATCTCGTGATCCGCCCACCTCGGCCTTCTGAAGTGCTGGGATTACTGGCGTGAACCACTGTGCCGGGCCCAATTCTTTTTTTTTTTTTTTTTTTTTTTTTTTTCATTCCAAAAACACAACCAAAGCAGCATCTCATCCAATTCTTTGTTTTTAATAGATTTTCTTTCTTTTTCAGAGCAGTTTTAGGTTCAAAGCAAAATTGAGCAGAAAGTACAGGGGGTTCCCATCTACCCCTTGATCCTATACCTCACAGCCTTCCCCACCTTCAGTCTCCTGCACCAGGATGGTCCATGTGTTACAGCTGAACCTACATGGACACCTCGTCTCCCAAAGTCATGGTTTACATTGGGGTTCATCATATGTAATGACATGCATCCACCATTTCAGTATCATACAGAAGAGTTTCACTGCCCTAAAAATCCCGTGCTCTACCTGTGTCTCTCTCCCCACAACCCCTGGAAACCACTGATTTTTTTTACTGCTACCATCGCTTTGTCTTTTCCAGACTGTATCATTGGAATGAGAAGTATGGAGCCTTGACAGCCTGGCTTCCTTTACTTAGCAATGTGCATTCAAGGCCTTCCATGTCTTTCATGGCTTTGTTTCTTTTTAATCATAAAAGTAAGTGTGGCTGGGCACAGTGACTCACGCCTGTAATCCCAGCACTTTGGGAGGCCGAAGCAGGCGAATCATGGGGTCAGGAGTTCAAATCCAGCCTGGCCAACATGGTGAAACCCCATCTCTACTAAAAATACAAAAAATTAGCTGGGCATAGTGGTGGGTGCCTGTAATCCCTGCCACTCAGGAGGCTGAGGCAGGAGAATCACTTGAACCTGGGAGGCAGAGGTACTCAGCCGAGATCGTGCCACTGTACTCCAGCCTGGGCAACAGAGTGAGACTGTCTCAAAAAAAAAAGAAAAAAGTATTAACTGTGTTCAGGCCTGCTCTGAATCTCCTCTCCCTCCAGGCTATAATAGATGAATTTGAGCAGAAGCTTCGGGCCTGTCATACCAGAGGTTTGGATGGAATTGAGGAGCTTGAGATTAGCCAAGCAGGTAGCCAGAGAGCCCCGTCAGCCAAGAAATCATCCACTGGTACGTGAGGCAGCCTGTGCTGGCAAGACCAGACCGGGCCCTCCCCTCCTGCAGGATTCATTTCTAACTTTCTTTTTAAAATCACGTCTTTCTACCTTTTCTAGTTTCTAGGCACCAGCCTCTGCCTTCTGCAGCCTCAGACAGTGACTTTGTCACACCACAGCCCCGCCGTAGTACCCGGCGCCACCCAAACACGCAGCAGCGAGCTTCCAAAAAGAAACCCAAAATTGTCTTCTCAAGTGATGAGTCCAGTGAGGAAGGTATGATGCTCCCACGTGTCCCCCGCCCCGAAGGCACACAGCTAGGGTATGGAGAACTGGTTTCCATGGGACCTGCTGTGGGGGCCACGTGTAGATGCTCTGCCCCACGCCCCGCAAGGGCCTCCCTGTACAGCTTGGATTTTATTTCTGCAGTGTGGCGTACATTGTTGTCTGAAATCTGTTTTTCACCATCTTTGTGACTCAGCTTTTTCGTATTCCTCGAATTCTTTGCATAGATCTTTCAGCAGAGATGACAGAAGAGGAGACACCCAAGAAAACGACCCCCATTCTCAGAGCATCGGCTCGCAGGCTCAGATCCTAGGAGTGGCCTTGCCCATTCCTGACCTCCCTGTGCAGGGTATCTTGTACGGTGACCTGGAATTCTAATTCTGTGCCCCTTGTAAAATACTTGTCTGTCTCCTTTTTTTTAAAAAAAAATACGCAGTCTTTAAAATGCAAGGCCTTTCTCCTAAATTAGCCTAACTGAACTGCGTTGAGCTGCCTTCACTTTGGAATATGTTTGCCAATCTCCTTGTTTTCTAATGAATAAATGTTTTATATACTTTTAGACATTTTTTTCTAAGCTTATTTTTATTTCATATTTCACATTAGCCCAGATTCATGCAGCAGAGAGGGTTAGCAGTCCAGAGAGAGATGAATGAGCCTGGAGTCCTAGGGCCTGTCCCAGGATGGCAGATGAGCTTCCCGCCCGTCACTGCCACCTTTCCCCTCTCCACCTCCCGGCCTCTCTCGGGAGAATTATGCAGTGCCGAGGCTCCAGATCAGTGCTTCTCCACCGGGGGTGATTGTGCCTGCCAGAGAACATTAGACAACACCTGGGGACCTTTTTGATGTCACAGCCTGTGGGGGAAGAATGCTACCAGCATCTATTTAGCCAGGGATGTTGCTAAACACCCTACAGTGCACAGGACAGCCCCTCAACAAAGCATTATGTAGCCCAAAATGTCAATAGTGCCACAGCTGAGAAAACCTGCTCTAGACCAAGGGTTGCTTTCCTCCGTGTGCCCCACCCCACCCCACCCCTACTCGTGTTCCCTAATCCCATCGCCAAAGGTTGGCAGCAGACGGGGCCAGGCTGGTGGAAGGTCAGGTCATGATCCCCTCCAGCTCTGCAGGAGACATGGTCTGTTTCCTGGCACTCCTAACTTCCCAGGTCTGCAGGGGGCACGGGGCTATGCTGCAGGGCGGGCTGCCCCCTGAAGCCTGCCCACCCCTTTCCAGCTCCCCAAGTCTTCTCTGCTGAGTCACCTAGAACGGGAGGCTGTGAGCAGGCTGTCGTGACCACACTGGTGCCTCTGCTGTCATGACAACAGCATGCTACGTCAGTAGTGCTCCTTGGGCACTGAGCTCCCTCTTTTGCGGGGAGGAGAGGACAGTAATGAAAAATGCCAAGCATGAGGCAAAGGGGAAGATGGCGCCTCGGAATTACGCTTGGGTGGCGCAGGAGCATGAGGCGCTCTTAAGGCTCTTGATGGGAAAGGGTTAATGGTCCTGGTTGCAGGAATAGCCGAGTCAGAGGTTCAGAGGTGGGGCTTCCTCCACTCCTCCATCCCACCCCTTCCACCCTTAGGGACCCTCTTGCCTTGCTCTTGCTACTCTGCTCTGGGTGATCATCGTGAAAAGCCCACATCAACCATGCCACTGGCAGCCAGACGAGGACAGCCTGGCTCTGGGTCTTAAGGAGGGAAGGCAATCCCAGAAAGGCAGGGACAGGGACTGGAGTCTTGTGCGTGCCTTTTAAGCAAAGATTATCACCAGGCCAGCTAAACTTAGCAACCAGCTTTTAGCTAGAAGGGCAGGGGGCTGGTGTCAGGTTACGCTGGGCCAGCAATAAAGGCCCGGGATCTCCCCTCCCAGGCACCTGCTGATGGGCCGAGGCCACCCCACCCCAGCCCCTTCAAATCCTTCCATCCAACACTCACAAACCTGGCCCTCTACCCGCCTAGGAGGGGAATGGATCCCCTGTGTGAAGGGGCAAGGGGCCTCTTCCCACCGTGAGCCCGAGACCTCTGTTCCCACTTTTCCCCTCTTCTTGACGCACCCTGCCCTCAATATCCCTCCCCCGGCGCAGGCAACGAAGGGGCGTCCCTGGCTCCCGGCTTGGCTGCAGCACGTTCCAGGGCGGGGAGGGACTTCCGCCCTCACGTCCCGCTCTTCGCCCCGGGCTGGATGGAGTGAAAGGGACACTGTCTCTCACCCTGGGCAGCACAGCCCACAGGTTTCCAGGAGTGACTTTGTGGGAGGCCCGCGGGCTGTCCTGCCCTTCTGCCACAGCCCGGGGAGAACCGCCGGTGCACACAGGGCCTGGATTGTCTGTCCTAATTATCAGGTCCAGGCTACAGGGCTGCAGGACACCGTGACCTTCCGTGCAGAAACCTCCCCCTCAAGCCGCCTCCCGAGCGTCCTTCCTTTCCAGGTCCCCACCGCCCAGTGCCCGGCCCAGCCTCGGTCCCAGAGAGGCCAGGAGCCAGAAGATGGGGAGGGGGGAGTGGGGGCTGGGAAGGGCCCGCGGAGGCCCACGGACCCCTCCTAGGCCTTTGCCTCAGCTTTCCGGTGTCACTACCGCAGAGCCTCGAGGAGAAGTTCCTCAACTTTCCCGCCTCTCAGCCTTTGAAAGAAAGGGGAAGGGGCCGGCCGCGTGCAGCCGCGAGCTGTGCTGGGCTTTGGCTCCAATTCCCCATCTCAGTCGCTCCCAAAGTCCTCCTGTTTCATCCGTGCGTGAAAGGTTAGCGTCCCTGGCTCCCCAGGGACCCGTCCTCGACTCCCTAATCTCTTGCCTGCCCACAGTCCAGTCCTGGGAACCAGCACCGATCACCTCCCATCGAGCCAATCTCAGTCCCTTCCCCCTCTCCGCCCGGGCCCACACGCTTGGTGAGTGCCCAGTTGAACACAGCAGCTGTTGGGGGGGGTCGGGGGGGAGAAAAAAAGCGGGCCCGACTACTCGTGGTTTTACGGGCGCACGTAGCTCAGGCCTCGAGCCCTCGGCCTGGGACTGGCTGAGCCGGGCGGAAGGCGGGGTTTGAGTCACCGCCTGCTGCCACGCCCCCCGTTCCTATAAATTCAGCCCGCATCCTCCCGCTGCGCTCTCTGCTCCTCCTGTTCGACAGACAGCCGCACCTTGTCTCCTATCACCAGGTGAAACCCGGCGAGAGGACCCCGGGAGGTTCGGGACGGCCTGAAGGCGGCAGGGGAGGGCGCGGGCGCGGGCCGTGTGCGCCGCTGCGGGGTGGGCGCGAGCCCGGGCGGCCCCCGCATTGCAGAGGCGTGCGGAGGACGTGTTGCGGCGCGGGTTGGGCATGGAGGCTTGAAATCGGGGGGGGGGGGGCGGGGGGGCGGAGGCGTGGGCGTCGGCCGGTGCCGCTTGGCCCTCACTGTCCTCTCCTTACGCGCAGCCACATCCCTGAGACACCATGGGGAAGGTGAAGGTCGGAGTCAACGGGTGAGTTCGCAGGTGGCTTGGGGGCCCTGGGCTGCAGCCGCGCCTGAACTGCGCCCACGAGTCTCGCGGGTTCCGGGGTCTTTGCAGTCGTGTGGGGGTGGGGTGGCTGTGCCCCCCGCCAAGGAGAGCTCAAGGTCAGCGCTAGGACCAGGCGGAGCCCCGGACCCAAGCTGTGGCGCCCTGTGCAGCTCCGCCCCTGCGGCGCCATCTGCCCGGAGGCTTCCTCCTCTCGTCCCCAGGAACCGGAGGTCCCCACTCCCGCCGGGGATCCCTTCCGACCCGGACCCCTAGCTGGGACCGCTTTCTTTCCTTTCGCGCTCTGCGGGTCACGTGTTGCAAAGGAGCCCCTCCCCCACGGCCTCTGGCACTGCAGGCCCCGGGATGCTAAGTGCGCAGCGGGTGCATCCCTGTCCGGAGGCTGCGCCCTGCGGTAGAGCGGGCGCCATGTTGCAACCGGGAAGGAAATGAATGGGCCACCGTTAGGAAATTCTGCGGGTGACTAACCCAACGCGTCTGCCTCGGTGGGTGGAGTCGCCTGTGCCGGGGAAGTCAAGTGGAGCAAGGCTTGCCGGCCACTGACCCGCAAGCCCGATGGTCCCCTCTGGGTGATGCTTTTCCTAGATCATTCTCTGGTAAATCGAAGAAGCGGGTTTGTGGCGGTTCTCCTGTGTCCCCTCCCCCAGAGGTGTGGCTGTGTCTTGGTGCCTAGCTGGGGGAGCTGAGTCATGCATGGGGTTGGAAAAGGACATTTCCACCACAAGATGGTCCCTCTGGCGGTAGCCCCAACCTGCGGCGCCCGCTCACCTCATTGCCCCGCTCTTCCCCTGCCAGCCTACCATTGACCCGACCCCAAAGGCCAGGCTGTAAATGTCACCGAGAGGATTGGGTGTCCCGGAGCCTTGGGAAACCTGCCCTTTTCCCCATTCCGTCTTCCAGAAACCGGATCTCCCACTGCACCCTGGTCTGAGGTTAAATATAGCAGCTGACCTTTCTGTAGCTGGGGGCCTGGCCTTGGGTTCTCTACCATCCTCTTCTTCCCGTGCACATACACATATCTTGCTCCCATGCCTGATTTCTGGAAAAGAGCTAGGAAAGACAGGAAACATGGCAAATCGGAGCCCTGGGAGTAGGGGGTTAAAAAACAGCTTTTTCCCTCATCTCTGTCCCTTTTGTAGGAGGGACTTAGAGAAGGGGGTGGGCTTGCCCTGTCCAGTTAATTTCTGACCTTTACTCCTGCCCTTTGAGCTTGGTGATGCTGACTGTACAAGTGTTTTCTCCCTAAAGGGTGCAGCCTGAAGCTGAGCCAGGCAGCAGCAAGTATTCCTGGGGCATAGATAGTGGGGTGATGAATGCCATGTGCTAAGCTTGTGCCCAGGCTGTGGGTGGCAGTGCCCCACGTGGCCACTTCCCCGAGAAGGGCTTCCCATGACGGGGGCTGTTGGGCAGCAGCGGCGCCATCATGTGGAGCCATGCTGTAAAGCTAGGCCACCCTGGCAGGCAAGCTCAAGGGAGATAAAATTCGGGTCCTCCTAGGGGTAAGAGTATGCTACATTCACCCTCTTAATGGGAAGGTGGCCTGGGGCTGCTCACACACCCTGGGAGTCCTCCCCCCCTTATGCCTTCTTGTCTCTTAGATTTGGTCGTATTGGGCGCCTGGTCACCAGGGCTGCTTTTAACTCTGGTAAAGTGGATATTGTCGCCATCAATGATCCCTTCATTGACCTCAACTACATGGTGAGTGCTGCCCCAAAGGTGGCATGGGAGGAGCTGCCTGGCTGATGGGCAGCCCCTTTATAACCTCACACGTTCCCCAGGTCTACATGTTCCAGTATGATTCCACCCATGGCAAATTCCATGGCACTGTTAAGGCTGAGAACGGGAAGCTTGTCATCAATGGAAATCCCATCACCATCTTCCAGGAGTGAGTGGAAGACAGAATGGAAGAAAATGTGCTTTGGGGAGGCAGCTAGAATGATGTGCCCCCACTTTGGGTATATGGTAATCTCATGTCTCAATACGGTCCTGTCCCTGTCTCCCCCCACCCCACCCCCACAGGCGAGATCCCTCCAAAATCAAGTGGGGCGATGCTGGCGCCGAGTACGTGGTGGAGTCCACTGGCGTCTTCACCACCATGGAGAAGGCTGGGGTGAGTGCACAAGGGCCCGCAGGAGGGGAAGCTGACTCAGCCCTGCAGAGGCAGAACCCAGGTTTGTAACTGTCTATTTACTTTCTCTGCTCTAGGCTCACTTGCAGGGGGGAGCCAAAAGGGTCATCATATCTGCCCCCTCTGCTGATGCCCCCATGTTCGTGATGGGCGTGAACCATGAGAAGTATGACAACAGCCTGAAGATCGTCAGGTGAGGAAGGCAGGGCCAGTGGAGAAGCAGCCAGCCTGGCACCCTGTGGACGTGCTCTCCTAACTTGCCCCTCCTCCCTCTTTGCAGCAATGCCTCCTGCACCACCAACTGCTTAGCACCCCTGGCCAAGGTCATCCATGACAACTTTGGTATCGTGGAAGGACTCATGGTATGAGATGCCGCATGGGACTGGCTCCTTTCTCATCCAGAGTTGGCTCCTCCCTACCAGGGCATACAACCCTGGGGGTTGGGGGGTTCTCGGGACTGGCTCTCCCGTAATTTCCATCCAAGGTGGGGAGGGAGGTAGAAGGGTGGTGTGGGGCGCGCTCTGCAGGGCCTCACTCCCTCCTGTTCCAGACCACTGTCCACGCCATCACTGCCACCCAGAAGACCGTGGATGGCCCCTCTGGGAAACTGTGGCGTGATGGCCGTGGGGCTCTCCAGAACATCATCCCTGCCTCTACTGGCGCTGCCAAGGCCGTGGGCAAGGTCATCCCTGAGCTGAACGGGAAGCTCACTGGCATGGCCTTCCGTGTCCCCACTGCCAACGTGTCAGTGGTGGACCTGACCTGTCGTCTGGAAAAACCTGCCAAATATGATGACATCAAGAAGGTGGTGAAGCAGGCGTCGGAGGGCCCCCTCAAGGGCATCCTGGGCTACACTGAGCACCAGGTGGTGTCCTCTGACTTCAACAGCGACACCCATTCTTCCACCTTCGATGCTGGGGCTGGCATTGCCCTCAACGACCACTTCGTCAAGCTCATCTCCTGGTATGTGGCTAGGGCTGGAGTCAGGCTCTTCAAAAGTGATGTGGGATCTGGCGCCCTCTGGTGGCTGGCTAACAACTCTTTTCATCTTCTAGGTATGACAATGAATTTGGCTACAGCAACCGGGTGGTGGACCTCATGTCCCACATGGCCTCCAAGGAGTAAGACCCCTGGACCACCAGCCCCAGCGAGAGCACGAGAGGAAGAGAGGCCCTCACTGCTGGGGAGTCCCTGCCACACTGAATCCCCCACCACACTGAATTGCCTCTCCTCACAGTTTCCATGCAGACCCCTTGAAGAGGGAGGGGCCTAGGGAGCCCCACCTTGTCGTGTACCATCAATAAAGTCCCCTGTGCTCAGCCAGTTCTTTGTCCCGTCTTATCCTGTATAGGGCAAAGGGGAGGGAAGCTGGGCTGGTGTAGACATTCTTGCTGGGAGGGACCTGGTACATCCCCTCTCAAGTTGAGGGTAGGGCCTCCACAAACAGCCTTGCTTGCTTCGAGAACCATCTGCTTCCTGCTCAGAGGTCTGAATGCTACAGGAAGGTGGTACCACCGCTTGAGAACAAGCCCTTTTCCTCTCCCTGCTCCAGTCCTAGGCTATCTGCTATTGGCTGAACATGGAAGAAGCTATTCTTTGGGCAACCTCAGGGAGGGTGACTGGTGGAAGAAGTCCGGGCTCACACTGGGCTCAGATGGTGACCGGTTAATAGAGCTGAGCTACAGCAGGCGATTCCAGCTTGGCCACCGCAGCTGTGAGGTCTTGAGCAAGTGCTCTTGCTTTCTGTGTCCTTGTACTTTACCTGCAAAATAGGGATGTGACTGGCCAGCCCCTAAGGTCTTCAGCAGGATTTACCTGGGTAAACTAAGTACTTAAAATCTATGCCCAAGATGGTAAGCACTGCACAATTTTTTAAAATCTGTAAGGTTAATGCCCACCTCATACAGTTTTGAGGAAGATGAACTACGTGTTGGGGTGACTTATTTCCATCATCATCCTTAGGGGAGCTTGGGTAGGGGCCAGGCATGGAGCTGGGACCTGCTTCGGGCAGAGTGCTCACACCTATAACCCCAGCACTTTGGGAGGCCAAGGTGGGTGGATCCCCTGAGGTCAGAAGTTTGAGACCAGCCTGGCTGAAAATCCATGTCTACGGAAACAAAATTTAGCCAGGCATGATGGCACACACCTGTAGTCCCAGCTACTCAAAAGGCTGCAGTGAGCTGAGGCTATGCCACTGCACTCCAGCCTGGGCAACAGAGTGAGACTCCATCTCAAAAAAATTAAAAAGTACCTACCTCAGAGTTCAAACTAGTTAACATTAGGAAGTGAAGTGCTTGAAACAGTAACACCAAAGATACTCTCCAGTTTCATTATTATTAAAGAATCCATTCAAATGTCAGCACAGCCTCCTATATGGAGGCGTTATGAATCACATCTCCCCAGTTTCTGCAGGCTTTTCCAAGAGTCAAGAACACCTTAGCCTGTTGGCCTCAGTGTATGACAGACACAGAGGAGGCACATCTTTAGCTGATACTTAAAAGAAACTGAGACCCTAAGCCAGCGTGCGCACGCACATGCATGCACGAGAGCTTCGCCTTCTCTGTCATTCTGCAGTGACCGGAGAGCAAGAGCTCCCACCTCCCTTCAAGATATTGTGCCCAACCCGGGCACTAAGGCCTCTTTAAAGCATGGCACCTCCACGAGAGGGCTACAGCCACATATATTCCACCTGGCAGGTGGCCAGCATGAGCACGTGAACCACAGCAGGGACAGGGTGCCCCGGCCAGCCCCGATGCCCTCCACACTAACAGGGACGGAAGCCCTCTCCAACTGTGTGTGCTGCAGTGGCCACGCCTCCAGCAGCATTCATTCCACCATGCCTGGGCCGGTTAGCACCAGTGCAGAAGACAGTGAGCCGGCTCCAGACAACAGCGATGGAGGAAAGGTCCTACATTCACGCTCCTGACACGTGGACAAGGTGAGGGGCTGTAATGGCTCTGGCAGCATTTTAAAGATGGGAAAGTAGCAGACACCCACACATGAAGGCAGGAGAGCCCCAACTGTGGTGGAAATGGCTCCGGAAGGGCAGGGCCAAGCCTAGCTCGACACCCCAGAGCCCAGGAAAAGCCAAGACCAAGGAGGAAGCCCGAGGGAGGAGCGCCCCAGTCCCCAGGGGCCAGGCCTCGTGCAGTGGTGCAAGTGATGCTCCCCTCTGTGCAGCCCCGCCCTCTGCCTTGCTGAGCTTCCAGCTGCGAGGATCTCGGGCCGAGGCGTGCAAGGGGGAGTCAGGTCTCTATCTCAGGGAGCTATCAGATGAGACATCACGGTCTGAGTCCTCAGTCTCGCTTGGCGGCGGCGGCGGCGGGTCGCTAAGCGGGACCGCAGAGAAAGCAGGAGACTTTCTAGAAAAAAACACCAGTTGTCAACCTTGGGGCAGGCAGGAATCCTGAAGTCGGCACTCCTCTTCCTGCCGCCTCATCCTCTGGCAGCAGGTGAGGAGCACCAGAGGCGAGGGCGGGGCAGCAGAAGGGCAGCCGGAAGGGAACGCATTCCAACCCCGCCCTGACTGGGAAATGGGCCCCGCCTATGTCTTGGGAACTCAAGAGGCTGACGTCAGGTGCGGTGGCTCACACCGGTAATCCCAGCATGGGAGGCTGAGGCGGTTGGTGCGGGGTGGGGGTGGGGGTGCGGGGCAGGGCGGGTGAGGCGGAGGGGAATTACGAGGTCAGGAGATCGAGACCATCCTGCCTAGCACGGTGAAACCCCGTCGCTACTAAAACACGGCTTGCGGGTGGTGGTGCAAGCCTGTATTCCCAGCTACTCCGGATGCTGAAGCAGGGGAATTGCTTGAACCCGGGAGGCGGAGGTTGCAGTGAGCCAAGATTGTGCAACTGCACTCCAGCCTGGTGACAAAGTAAGACTTTGTCTCACACACACACCCAAAAAACCTGCCCCTTCTGTTTCTTGACAGTATTTTTGATTTTTTTTTTTTTTTTTTTTTTTTTTTACGATGGAGTCTAGCTCTGTTGCCCAGGCTGGAGTGCAGTAGTGCAATCTCGGCTTACTGCAACCTCTGCCTCCAAGTTCAAGCGATTCTCCTGCCTCAGCCTCCCAAGTAGCTGAGATTAAAGGTGCTTATTTATTTATTTATTTATTGGTATTTTTAGTAGAGATGAGGTTTCACTGTGTTGGCCAGACTGGTCTCAAACTCCTGACCTTATGATCCACTCACCTCGGCCTCCCAAAGTGCTGGGATGATAAACGTGAGCCACCACACCTGGCCCCTTCTTGCCAGTGTTTGTTTTGTTTTGTTTTTGTTTTTTGAGACGGAGTTTCGCTCTTGTTGCCCGGGCTGGAGTGCAATGGCGCGATCTCGGCTCACCGCAACCTCCGCCTCCTGGGTTCAGGCAATTCTCCTGCCTCAGCCTCCTGAGTAGCTGGGATTACAGGCACGCGCCACCATGCCCAGCTAATTTTTTGTATTTTTAGTAGAGACGGGGTTTCATCATGTTGACCAGGATGGTCTCGATCTCTTGACCTTGTGATCCATCCGCCTCGGCCTCCCAAAGTGCTGGGATTACAGGCATGAGCCAGCGCGCCCAGCCTCTTGCAAGTTTTTAAACTGCCTCTAACCAGAGGAATCACCAGAGCTGGTGGCCTTGGGAGGCTTCAGCCCTCCGGCCATGAATAGACCATGTCATCCAACTGCCAAGGGGGAAGAGAGCTGTGGGTCTGGGCCAGCCACACCAGGTGACTCCCAAAGGGCAGCTCCGCACCAAGATGTGACCCAGTCACTGCCTGAGGGTCTTCGGGGCTGTGTTCCGCCCTTTCTCCTCCCTGTGTCCCCCTGGAAGGCTGCAGACCTCAGGGGAGGCGCCTACCGGTCTCCGGACTGGGTGATGAGCCGGCGGCAGGTCTCCATCTGCACGTCCAGGCCGCGCTTCATGCTGCACATCTCCATGTACTCGTGCAGGTGCCGGTTCATGTCATTCTTGGCCGTGGCCAGCTCCAGCTGTGGTGGGGCAGGCAGGGCCATCGGGGTTAGTTGGTGGGGTTCACAGTGCCTCTGTGCCCCCCGCCAGGAGGCTAACACACCAAGGGCAGTGGCTGGGCTGGGAGCCGAGGCAGCCACTGCTGAAGGCTGATTTTAAAATAAATCGGACCGAGGCAGAAGGCACCAAATACACTATTATTTCCTCTGGTTTTCCTGGAAATCTCTGTCCATGGAGGAATGTAAAGGTACTGCTGCAGGCTGCATTCAGACTAAAGGTCAGTGTGGGCAGGATGGAGCAGATCCACAGGCCTCCAGGGCCACATCGGTTCCTGCTGGGCTCAGCTCACCCCTCATCCACTGTGCTGTGCTGACTGCACTGTGAGCTCATTTAAGGGTTGGCCACAGCTTCCTCATCCCTGCAGACCCAGACCTCGACAGGATTTAACTCACTCTGTGAAATGCCCATGAGACCTGGGACACACAAGAAGCCTGGCTCATTGCTGAAAGGGGCCCAATCCTCTTCCCGTCACTTTATTTCCTCACCTAAAAGCCATTTTCAGACACTAAAAGGAAGACTCCCATGTTGGAGGTGCCACTGATTCTAAGATGTGTCCTGACTTCAGAAATGTCACATGTGGAAAACATGGGGCTCAGAATCAAAGAAATCCAGTCTCCCTCCCAGGGCCCATTCTGCAGCCCAGGCTCTGAGGCAAACCGAGAGGCAGGGCCCAGGCAGCACAAGCTCTGGGCTGGGGACAGTCGACTGCCTCTCTTCGGTTTGGGTACAAAGGGCAAGGGCCATAAGGGGAGGCAAAATGAAACTGCCTGGAGGTGACCTTTGTGACTGCCTGAGCAAGAGGACGGGGAGGGTGCCAGCTGTGATCACCTGGATTGGACATTGGTGGTGGGAACTTAAAGAAGGAAACAGGCCACAAGGCCAGACAACAGTAATGGTCAGGACACTGACATGTGGGGTGAGATGGCAGCTGGGTGGGTGAGAAGCCCTAGTGAGGACAGCTCTAGTGGCAGCCTTGGCTGCCACAGTAGTGGGAGGAGCAGGACACAGTTTGACTGTTCAGCTCAGGGAGAAAGCACAGTGCTACCAGCTCTTACTCAGGTCAGCTGCCTATACCCCAATTTCTCTACCTTGGAAAAGCCAGAGTGCAGGGGGCTGGGTTATGGAACCATCACTCAGGGAGACTGGGAAGAAGAAAATGAACCAAATATATTCTACTGAAATACAAGGCTAGTACTGCCACCAGTAGTCTGCATATTCTATGTCCCCACTTAATTCACAAATTTACAGCAGGAACGCGGTCAAGAGATGTCCTTGATAAGCTACCTTGAAAACTGCAGGCTTGCTATGTGACCAGACTTGGGGGTGAGATGGGAGGAGACAGAGAGGAAAGGAGGAGTGGGGAAGAACTGCCTCCTGCAGAGGAACTGTCCTTGCTCCATCTGAGTGACCCTGAGATAAAAGGTCACAAAGATAAAGGCACCTGGGGTATTCCTGAGGTCAGCAAGTCCCCCTGAAGGTTCCCCTAACACAGAAGTCCTCAACCCCCAGGCCACAAACCGGTACCTGTCTGTGGCCTGTCAGGAACCAGGCCCGACAGCAGGAGGTGAGCAGTGGATTTACAGCTGCTCCCTGTCACTGGCATTACCACCTGAGCCCCGCCTCCTGTCAGATCCGCAGCAGCATTAGATTCTCACGGGAGCGGGAACCCTATGGTGAACTGCGCATATGAGGAATCCAGGCTGCACGCTCCTTATGAGAATCTAATGCCTGATGATCTGTCACTGTCTCCCGTCACCCCCAGACAGGACTGTCTAGTTGCAGGAAAACAAGCTCAGGGCTCCCACTGAGTCCACATTATGGTGACCTGTATAATTATTTCATTTTATAACTGAAAATGAAATAATTTTCAGTAAAAAAATGAAATAATTATACAAGTCATAACTGTATTAACAAGAATGTAATAATAATAGAAATAAAGTGCACAAACCAAAACGGTGGCTCACGCCTGTAATCCCAGCACTTTGGGAGGCCAAGGCAGGCAGATCACCTGAGGTCGGCAGTTCAAGCAAGACCAGCCTGACCAATGTGGAGAAACCCCGTCTCTACTAAAAATACAAAATTAGCCACGTGTGGCAGCGCGAGCCTGTATTCCCAGCTACTCAGGAGGCTAAAGCAGGAGAATCACTTGAACCAGGGAGGCGGAGGTTGCAGTGAGTCGAAATCGTGCCATTGCACTCCAGCCTGGGCAACAGGGTAAGACACCGTCTCAAAAATGAAATAAATAAAAATAAAGTGCACAGCCGGGCGCGGTGGCTCACGCCTGTAATCCCAGCACTCTGGGAGGCCAAGGCGGGTGGATCACGAGGTCAAGAGATCGAAACCAACCTGGTCAACATGGTGAAACCCCGTCTCTACTAAAAATACAAAAAATTAGCTGGGCATGGTGGCGCGTGCCTATAATCCCAGCTACTCAGGCGCCTGAGGCAGGAGAATTGCCTGAACCCAGGAGGCAGAGGTTGCGGTGAGCTGAGATCACGCCATTGCACTCCAGCCTGGGTAACAAGAGCGAAACTCCATCTCAAAAAAAAATAAATATAATGTGCTTGAATCATCCTGAAACCATTCCCCACTCAGGTCAGTGCAAAAACTGCCTTCCAAAAAACCAGTCCCTGGTACTATAAAGATTGGGGACTGCTGCCCTAACCTTTGTACTGGGAGAGAGGGGGAATCAGATGACTTGAAAATACCTTTTTTTTTTTGAGACAGAGTCTCACTCTGTCACCCAGGCTGGAGTGCAGTGGCACATTCTGGGCTCACTGCAGCCTCCACCTCCCAGATTCCAGCGATTCTCCTGCCTCAGTCTCCCAAATAACTGGGATTACAGGCACCCACGACAACACCTGGCTAATTTTTGTATTTTTAGTAGAGACAGGGTTTCACCATGTTGGTGGCCAGGCTGCTCTTGAACTCCTGATCTCAAGTGATCCACCTGCCTTGGCCTCCCAAAGGGCTGGGATTACAGGGGTGAGCCACTGCACCCAGCAGAAAATAGCTTCAAAGGCATGACTCCATTTAGGATATTCTTTTGGTTCATTCAGATCGTGTTTTACACTGGGCACTTGAGGTCCAGGGAGACTAAGGAGAGATGGCAGCCCGAGATCTCTTCTTCACGCAGATGGCTGCGCAAAGGCCCCGATTTGGTTGAAGGTACAACGAAAACACCTGACCTTAAATCCACCAACCAAAAGAGGGAGGCAATAGCGAGCCGGGTAGACAGGAGAGTGGGGAGGATTGGTTTCCCTTGCCATGTCTTTAGGTAGCAGCACAAATCCAGGAAACCTCGTCTACCTGGCCAAGAAATCCAGGTTTGCTTGCAGGACAGTTTGATGTGTGTTGGGGGAATTCCTATGTAGAAAAATAATTTCCCAACTTCCTTCTCAAACACATCCAGTGTGAGAGCAGTAAGGGTAAAGCCACTCCCTCCTTATCCACTTTTCCACTTTCCATAGCTTCAGGTACCAGAGGTAAACCTTGATCTGCAAATATGAAATGAAAGATTCCAGAAATAAGCAATTCCTAAGTTTTAAATTGCATGCTGTTCTGAGTGGCCTGATAAAATCTCACTCTAGACTGAGCACAGTAGCTCACGCCTGTAATCTCAGCACTTTGGGAGGCCAAGGCAGGCGGATCACCTGAGGTCAGGAGTTCGAGACCAGCCTAACCAAAATGGAGAAACCCCATCTCTACTAAACCTCACTCTCTCCAGCCCAAAACATGAGCCCTCCCTCTGTCCCAAAGATCCACACTGTCTACCCTGCCTGCCCTTTAGGCACTTAGTAGCCATCTCAGAGATCACACTGACCGTCACGGTATCACAGTGCCTGTGTTGAAGGAATCCTTATTTCTACTTCATAATGGCCCGAAAGCACAAGAGGAGTGATGCTGGTAATTTGGATATGCCAAAGAAAAGCCAAAATGTGCTTCCACTAAGTGAAAAGGTAAAACTTTTCAACTTAATAAGAAAAAGAATCCTATGCTGAGGTTGCTAAGATCTATAGTAAGAATGAATCTCCTATCTGTGAAATTGTAAAGAAGGAAAAACAAATTTGTGCCAGTTTTTCTGTTACACCCCGAACTGCAAAAATTACTGCCACAGTGCATGCAAAGTGCTTAGTTAAGATAGAAAAGGCACTGAATGTGTAGGTGGAAGACATGAAAAGAAATAGGTTCCATTGACAGCAACTGGACCCAAACTATCAGGGGTTCGGTGCTATCTTTGGTTTCAGGCATCCATTGGCGGATGCCTGTAGATAAGAGGGGACTATGGTATGAATCTGCCACATGGGCTTGAAGAGAGGTTGAAAGTCAGAGAAGGCACCAGGCCTCTCCCCGAGTCAGAGCATCTGGAAATAACCATCTCACCAGGGCAGGAGAGCTCATGCGCATCCTGTCCATCCCTCCTCCCACAGCAACCTCCATTCTGTGGTTCCACAAATCCTTCTTGCAGCTCCTAAAGCTTGTACTTTAAGGCACCACTTGCCTCTAGGTACCTCTAGAAGGTACTTCAGGGCTCAGGGAAAAGCCTGGAGATTTCTCTGTTACCTCAAAGGCTAAGTGAGTGGAAGAAACAGAATGTCCAAGTCCATCTCTGAGTGCTACGGCACTGACAGTGTTCATAATAAAACAGTCCCCACTACGGTACACTCACTATGAGCCAGACATTGCCCTAAGCTCTATATGTGCATTATTTCATCTGATCTTCTAAACAATCCTACAGGGGAAGTTTTGTTAAATTCCTCATTTTACAAATAAAGAGGCTGGGCACCGTGGCTCGTGCCTGTAATCCCAACACTTTGTGAAGCCGAATTGGGAGGTTGCTTGAACCCAGAAGTTTGAGGCCAGCCTGGAAAACAAGTGAGACCCTGTCTCTATAAAATATTAAAAAATTAGCTGGATGTGGTGGCACACGCTTGTGGTCTCAGCTGCTCAGGAGGCTGAGGTAGGAGGATTGCTTGGATCCAGGAGATGGAGGCTGCAGTGAGCCTGGAGTGACAGAGCAAGATCATGTCAGAAAGAAAGAAAAGGAAGAAAGGAGGGAGGGGGAAAGAAAAGAAAAGAAAGAGGGAGGGAGGGAAGGAAGAAAAGAAGGATGGAAGGAAGAAGGAAAGGGAAGGAAGGAAGGAAGGGAGGGAGGGAGGGAGGGAGGGAGGGAGGGAGGGAGGGAGGGAGGGAAGGAAGGAAGGGAGGGAGGGAGGGAGGGAGGGAGGGAGGGAGGAAGGAAGGAAGGAAGGAAGAGGTACAGGGGCTGGGCACATGGCTCATGTCTGTAATTCCAGCACTTTGAGAGGCTGAAGCAGGAGGATCACTTGAGCCCAAGAATTTAAGACCTGCCTGGGAAACACAGGGAGACCCCCATCTCTACAAAAGAAAAAATTAAAAACTAGCTGACTGTGGTAGTGCACGCCTATGGTCCCAGCTACTCAGAAGGCTGGGGTGGGAGGATCACTCCAGCCTAGGCAACAGAGTGAAACAGAGTGAGACTTTGTCTCAAGGAAAAAAAAAAAGAAAGAAAGTAACTGACTCAGCGGGAACAAGTAACTTGTTACAAGTTCAGAGTGATTCTAAGTGACAGAGCTGAGATTTGAGCCAACATCTGTCTGCTTTCAGAGTCTTCAGAGCCCACCGGAAGGAGTACAGCTGAGAGGCCACTCCTCCCAAGACCCTGGTCTCCAAGGTCCCTCAGGAGGGATGAGGCCACTGTGCCTGCAGCCCCACTCAAAACCCTCTGTGACACTGTGCGCCTGGCTTCTGCCCCCGCCCTTACCTCTATCTGGTCAATGGTCTCCTGATACTCCTTCTCCCGGGTTTTGAACAAGGACTCCGTATCTTTAATCACCTTCTCCAGGCTGTCTTCCTGCTGCTGGAGTAGAAAGGGAAGCGAGGAAGGCCAGCCAGGGAGGGAGGGATGGGATGGGGCGCATTCCACAGGGCCAAGTCAGGGGGAGAGAGAGAGAAAGACCGGTTAAAGAAACTGGAGAAAGGAAAGCCACAGGACCAAGGAAGAGGGGAGACGCAGGTAGAGGATGACAGCCACATGGGGGGACAGAGCGAGGAGTGCAGGGAGGGAGGCCGGGCGTCGGGCTGGAGGCAGAGCCAGAGGGCCCTGAGGCCGGGAGCAGAGGTTACCTCTCCCTGGGCCTCTGCAGCTGCCATGGCATAGCCTGAGAAATCCTCCCAAAGCAGCAGGGTCTCCTCAGTCTCCTCCCAAGTCAGGCTGTCACAGTCGTCCTCAAAATCATACTCCCTCCTAGAGACAGGGAACCCGGGTGTCAGGGCGGGCGGGGCCTCGTCCTGGCGGGGGCCTGGGGAGCTCCGGCCTCCTGGGCTGCTGTGGCGTGGGTGCTGCGGGCCCACGGCCTGCGGACTCACAGCTGGCTGAGCATGCGCTGCACCTCCTCGTTGATGCTGAGGGCTGTGCTCTCCTCCTCATCCCCATCGGGCTGGCGGGGCCCCTCACTCTCCGACAGGGAGGTGTCCTCCTCGACGGCAGCCTTGCGCTCCCGCTTCCGCCCCCCCATGGATGGGACCTTAATGGGAGACAAGTGCAGAGACTACAGAGACGAGGCCGGGTGCATGAGGAGAAAGGGCGGGAGCGGGAGGCCGGGCAGAGAGGGCGGGCAGGGGGGAGAAGCGTGAACCAGCAGGAAGGGTGGGGCAGACAGAGAGAGAAGTCACAGTTACAATGACAGGAACAGAAACACGGACAGTCACCAAGGGCCAGACACACAGACACACAGCGGGGGCCGGGGCTGCAGACTGAGAAGGCAGAACAAGAAGAAATAGAGAGAGAGCGGTCAGACGAGGGAGGAAGGGCCTGTTAGGGCCGCAGTCAGATATGCATGATGGCTCAAGAGGAATTGTTTTTTCTAAAAAAAGCCTTTTTGATTAAATGACTCAACTAAAAAAAAAAAAAAAAAGCTTTCGGCTGCAAGGAGGATGAGGGTGCAATGTGCACAAAGGAGAACCTGAATCACATCCAGATCTGGAAAGCGGGGCAGAAGGGAGAGAAAGAAATGCAGTCAAGAGCACGAGAGAGAGAGAGAGAGAAGAGAGAGAGAGAAAGAGAAAGGGGGAAAAGCAAGGAAAAGAGAGAGGGGAGAAAAAAATCTGTGCTGAAGAGCCCAGCAGGCCCAAACTGAGGGCCAGGAGGCCTAGGCAGCTTAGAAACTGGGACTGGGACATTAATAAGCTTGCATGAGATCAAACTAACCAGCTTCTTCTGTGGAGGAAGCAAGAGAGAAGATGAGAGGAAGAGAGGAGAGGAAGCAGACAGAGGAGAGAGGGGGGGAAGGGAGAGACGGCGTTAGAGATAGCTTCCACAATGCCCCTCCTGATGCTGCTCCTTGCCCCCCAGCCTAGCCCCGCAAGGGCCCCAGGTGCCAGGATAAGGCTCCCCAAGTGGAAGGCAGGGCCTGTGTTCCAGTCCAGCCACCGAGGAAGCATCCACCTGCCCCACCCACCCCTGAGAGCGGAGGCAGCTTCGTCCTCACCTGGAACATCTGGATCATGTCCTCACAGTTGCGCTGCTGAGCCACGTCGCAGAGCTTGGCGGTGATGTCGATGCGACGGCAGATGTCCATATCCACCTTCATGGCTTTCTCCTGGATCTTGGTATCCAGCTCCGACAGGTTCTGTCCAGGGAACGCAGGGAACAGTGAGGAGGCACCCAGTTCTCCAGACAAGGACGAATAAGGCCTGGCAAGGTCCTCATCCTCCCACCACATTGTACCAGTGCCTCTTCCATGGAGTCTCCCTGAGCTGAAGGCACCCCTCTTCCTGGGTGGCAGTGGCCTCCCCACAGCACTGTGAATATGCTGGGCATGGCAGCTCCGACCACCGCTCCCTGGCCAAACGGAAGCCCTGGAGGGCACGGCCAGTGCCGGGGCCACATAGGGGCTCCCTGGTTCAGCAGTCCTCATCCTCCTGGAACTTAGATTCCCAGAGAGAAAGAGACTCCTGGGAATTATAAGCGTGGAGAAAGGACTGTAATAATCGCAACAGCTAACACTCTTCCAGCTAACGCTGCATGCCAGGCACTGTCCTAAGTTCATGATCGCCTTCACAATACTCCTGCAGAGTGCACGCCTTTCCTTCCCCACATCGCAGGTGAGGCCTCAGAGGCTGAGGAATTGGCCCAGGGCCCCAGCGCCAGCCGCAGAGCCTCCACCCCAGAAGCCACTCACTAACTGCTCTGCAACCCCAGGCCCTCAGAAGCTGCGCCACCTCTGAGACGCAACACCAAGACTTTTGTTCCTTCTCTTTCTCTGGAGTTGGGGGTAGCTAGGGGGAAAGGGAAGGGGAGCAAAGAGAAGGGGAGGAGGCAGGGACAGGACGCCAACAGGCCAACTCTAGAAGGGCCTGCTGCTCTGGCCTGAGAAGCCTCACGCTGACCCTCAGGGAAGCCTGGGGCTGCACTCACGTTACTCATGAGCCCCTTGAAGACCACCAGCTCAGCCTTCAACTGTTCCACCTTCAGTGCCAGCTCCTCCTGGCAGGCATCAGCCTCCTGGGCTTCCTGCAGTTGGGAGAAACCCTGATGTTAGTGGCCCTGCTGAGGTGGGAAGGAGGTAAAGATGACAAGGAGGGACAGGGAGATGGATGATGCCAGGGTCGTGGCCAGACAGGGCACCCAGGGAAGCACGGGCAGTGGGCGGGGCACACCCTCACCTCCTGGAGCTCATTGACACGATCTTGCAGCTGGATCCGCACCGTGTACTCCTCTTCCCACCTGACAGACAGGGAAGGGCGGAGAAAGCTTAGGGACAGAGTCCTTCCCTGCCCCCATGGCTCCCTGTCCCCACCTCTCTGGTTCAGGCCTCAGACCCCAGTTCTGGTTCCCTGGATGGGGAGGAGCAGGGCACGGGAATGCCTGGCCAGCCAGCCGGTGGCCAACTGCAGCTGTCGCGTGGCTCCGTGCTTCCTGACGGGCGTCGAGCTCGCCAGCTGCCTTCCCAGAACCTCCGGGTCGCACACCAGGAGCTCTGTTTGAGCAACCGCTGCAGCTCCGGTCCTCGGTGGCGCCCATCCCCGCTCAGGCCCCAGCTCAGCCGACTGCCTGGCTGGCCTCATCGCCCACCTCCTGCCCACACCAGACCACCAGGTCCACCCAGCCCAGTCTCCCACCTTCAGTCGCACAGATCCGGGCTCCCGCCTCCTGCCCGCACCAGAACAGAGCTGGTCGAGCCCGCTGCCCTGCCTCTTGTGGTATCATTTAACCCTGTAAAAGCATCTGCAGGACACATACTGTATCAACAGAGTGGGTCAAGAGCCTGATAGAAGACACTCAAAGTCCTTCCCCACAAGCTCCAGATACTGCCCACCCAGAGCCTCCTCTAAGTGAGCCATGGAGAGGTGACCAGCCTGGCTCAGAGGCCAGAAGTTCCCCAGCAGCATGACAGCAGTGGACACACGAGCCTGGGGTTACTAGCACTCAAACCCAGAGGGAAAGTAGAGTATGTAAAGGGGCCCAGTGAGTACAGTGGATGAGCACGCGAAGCAGCCTCTCCCGGGACCCAGAATTCAGAGACTAAGACCGCAGCGGTCTGGATGACAGTGGGCCACAGCACAGGGCGCTAGGTAGCGCATGCTTCCCAGAGCCAGCTTTGTCACGTCTCATCGGCCATGGCAGGCGGTGCATACTCCATTCCATCACAGAGATGGAAGCCGGGGCAATGCACTCCTTCGGACCTGCCCTGCAGTCTGCTGGCGAAGGCGCACGTCTCAGACCCTGTTCCTGTGCGCGCATCACTTCTGTCAGCCTGAGAAAGGAAGGGAACTGCACCGAGAGACTTCAACCTAAGATAGGTGGTTAGGAAGGGGCTAGGAAGACAGCAAGAAGATGGAAATCTAACTGGGCAGCTCCGGTAGCCTTGGGTTAAGCCCTTTCGTCCCCTTCCCTCCATCTTCCTTCCTATGTCAGCCTCTGGGTCCCATCGTCTCACTCACAGCCGCACTGCAGCACTCCTAATAATAACTACTCCACACCACCTCGGCTGCCCCTCCCTGCTGGCCAGAGCAGGAGGAGGCAGCCAGCCCAGCCACCACCCTGCTGGCTCCCCACACAGCCCGGCTCCCAGCCTGCCTGGCTCCCAGCCCCCTTCCCGGTGGGTCCCATATGTGCTTCTCCCCTTCCCCCTGGCATTCTCGTGCACACAGTCAGGCCAATAAGGGGCTCGTCACATCAGGTTGTATGTTTTCTTAGCTGAGACCCTTCTCTTTTCTGGGTCTTGGTTTCTTCATCTACAATATGAAGGCACGAAGTGTGGTGTCCTCATGCCCCTGGAGCCCACAAATCCCTGGAGGAAGACGGTAAGCCTGTCAAGGGCATGCCAACCCTGGACAAGATGCGTGAAGGAGGGCAGGAAGGGCTGTCTGACAGTGAGCTCAGTGAAGCCCGGAAGAAGCTTAACTAAGACAGTAGCCAAAGGGTAAGCTTAATGAAATCTTACAGGGTAAAAAATCTGAAAATGGATCATCTGGACACCCACTACAATTCTATTTGCTCTCCAGCCAGACTTCACACAAATAGGTTCATTTTGACCTCTGCTTCCATCTGGTCTCACTGACCAGGTTCCCTTAATATGGGCAGACCTTGAGCGATTTCCATGCATTCTGCATGGACCAAACACCTCTCTTCCAAAAAACTGTACCCCTGACTTGAAGAGAGAAAGCAGGGACCCTTCCTATGTTGGAAAAACGGGGGCTCAAAAAAAGGTCACACTTAAGGCAGGGGAGCTGAAAATAGAACCCAGGAGGCCTTTAGCTACCTCCCAGTTTAGTGCTCAAGCCATCCCAGGCCTTCCAGGCGGAAGACAGGAGTTACAGTGTTGCTATAAAGAGACCAGAATGAGAGCAGGGGATCTGGGGTGGAAGAAGAGTCACTGCCAGTGTCACGTACCAGCTGAGCCTAGCTACAGCCCTCTACACAGCAGTGTGCTGCAGAGTGATGAGCTAATCGGTCTCCAAGGAATAACTCTTTCCTGCCCTGGACAGCTGGATCAAGGACAAACACTCCTTCAGTTAAAAAAAAAAAAAAATGCTCCTGAGAACAGCAGTTGTTCCTGTGGTTATGGATACATTCCAGAACTGTGCCTGTTCCACTGCTGAATGTGGCAGTTAACTCCTGCAGGGGCACAGCAGGCTGGTTCTGGGTGGCACCTGAATAATGATTTCAGGACAACTGAAACGCCCAAGGACATAACTAAGGAAGCCAGCATGAGGACAGGACTCGAACTCAGAAAGCCTGCTAATTTGTGATCTGGTAGACTCCAGGAGGGTAGAGACCCCTGAAGATCTCCCCCCCAACCCAGCAGTCATTTCCTAGAACATTCGGCCAATCCTTACCCAGTGCTGAGCCCCTGCTACACTGGGCTTGCACAGATAGTTCCCAGGCCTGCCCACAAGGGGTCCTAATAGCTGAGATGAGACGGGAGGCCCCCAAACCAAAGCCTCCTCTGACTGTCACTCCCTTCCTCCTCAACCATGGCATGGGTTGGAGTCTGCAAGACACTACCTCTGCTCTCCTGTCCTTTCGGCCTGGTTATCAACCATCTAAGGAACCCTCTTGGTATATAGCCAAGCATATCCCTCTTGGTATCCTGGCAACATATCCCTTCCCCTCGCCCCTTGGGGCCCGGCTTTTCTCAGCCAAATCTTCATCCACCGACTGCACTGGGCCCGCCCCACCGCCTCAAAGTCCTAGTGAGTGTCTGTATCCCAGCTTCTTCCTGCTCAGTTCCTTGCTGGCTCTCCACTCTCCCTCCACTGCTGGGGCTTTATACTGCCAGAGATTCCCCATCAGCCCTGCTTTCCACCCTTACCCTAAGGAATTCCTTTACTCTCTCTTTTCCCACTTTGTTGACCTACTCAAGCAATGGCTTGAAGTCCCGGAACTTTTCCTATGAAGCCAGAGCAGATACCTGGTTTCCATCAATATTCTTTAAGAAACCCTGGGCTGTGAAAGAATCACTCACTGCAGGGTGCGAGCCCCTTCCTCATTACCCCCTTCCATTTTCACTCAATTTAGTCTCCCCAATGTACACTATATCCTTGCCTCCTACTTTTGAAGCTTATGTCACTAAACTGCCCCAGGGCTGAGACTGGTAGGGCTCAGACTCAATACCTTTCACACATCACAAAGCCCGAAGTTAAGCCTAGATGGCACAGAACAAGCCAGAAAAGTAGGAATCGCCCAGTGTTCTGCTCCCAACGTCTTTATTCCTGTCTCGAGTGGGGCTTCTGCATTCTCTGCAGATTCTAGTTCCCAGAATCCAATTCCTTCCAAGCTCCTCATTATACAGCACAAACTTTACTGTCATTCTTTTCACCCCACATTCTTAGGAACCCATACCGACTCCCAGCTGGTAGTGAGTGGCATGACACACACAGGTCTCTGTCCCTACCTCCGCTTGTACTCGTCCCGCTCCCGTTTCACTTTGGCCAGCACGTTGTAGAGTGCGCGGATCTCGGGGGTGATGGTGTCGATCTGGACGCCCACCCCATCCGGGTGCACCCATGACAAGCCAGGTCCTTGTACCAGAGTGGGCTCCAGTCCCGGCCCGAGCCGGCGGGCGTGCGAGAAGGACCAGATGGTGCCCGGCATGAAGCGGGCCGATGAGGAGTAGGCGGTGGAGGTGGAGGTAGAGGACGACGAGAGGCTGGCCGCGGAGGGGGCGAGGGGGCCGGCCGGCGAGCGCGCGGGCGAGCCCAGCACCCGCGCAGACGGGCTGCAGACGGCGGCCGGCCGGGCGCCCAGCGGCAGCCCCAGGGGCCGGATGGGGCTGACGAAGCCGGTCTGCACGGCCTGGTCGCGGCGACCCAGGCCCCGCCGGCCCTGCTTACCCTCCTCCAGCGCTTGCTGCAGCTGCTTCTCCAGCAGCCGGTTCCGGCGCTCCAGCTCGTGCACCTTGGCCAGGAAGCAGCGGAACCGGAGGTTCAGGGTCTTGAGCACGTTGATGTTGGAGCCCAGGTCATTGCGGAGGGCCATGGCGGCAGGCGGGGCCGGGCCGGGCCCGGGTGGCGAGTAGGCGGCAGGGCCGGCAGGCGGAAGAGGCGCCGGGGGCAAGTCTCCTCCCCCGGCGAAGTGGTCGCCTCCCAGTGGGTCCCCCAGCGGCCCGGCCAGGCCCTGCTGCTCCTGCTGTAGGAGGAAGAGATTGGGGCCGAATAACGGATTCATGGCTGCGCCTTCTGCTGGGAGATGCAGACCGGTGCAGGAGCAGGGATGGAGGGCGAGCGAGAAGAGCCAATGCGGCGCCGGCGGGACGGGGCCGACCAATCAGGCGGCTCGGCGGCGGGGCAGAGGTCAGGAGGCGGGCCCAGCGGGAAGCCAATGACAGGCTCCAATTGGAGGCCGGACCCAGGACCTTTCCGGGTCTGAGGCCGAGCCCAGGGCCAAGGAGAGCCACCGCCTGGAATCCAGCCGGGGTGGCGTAAAGCCCAGGACCCCATGGGTTCTGGTGACAAGCCCATCTCCCCTGCACTTCCTGTTTTTTGAGACCGAGCCTCACTCTGTCGCCTAGGCTGCAGTGCAGTGGCGCGATCTTGGCTCACTGCAATCACTACCTCCCGGATTCAAGCAATTCTGCCTCAGCCTCCCGAGTAGCTGGGATTACAGGCACCCGCCACCATGCCTGGCTAATTTTTTGCATATTGGGTTTCACCATGTTGGCCACGCTGGTCTGGAACTCTGATCTCAAGTGATCCGCCCACCTTGATCTCCCAAAGTGCTAAGATTGAAGGCGTGAGCCACAGCGCCTGGCCTTCCCCTACACTTCTGCTGCCCTCCTCTTCCCACAGTCCAAACTTCCGTAACTCTGACTCCAGGGCTCTCCTTTCCTGGGAAGATCCAAGGATCCAGGAGCCTAAAACTGACCTGACTTAGTAGCACCCAACCATTCCCTCTCCTCAAAACCCCAGTCCCACCTTCCCATCTCTACCCTTAAAGCAGAAAAGGCAGTATCCAGTTCCCTCAAAAAATACTCAGTAGCCAGAGGTTGTAAAATGTGTATTAAATTTCATGGGCATGCACAGTGCAAAAGGCTTCCTCACAGAGGCAAGAGTTCCAAACCGGTGACAAAGGCAGTGAGCCACCCCAGTCTAGTTTTCAACCATCTAAGACAGAAGCAGCTGGCTGTTGCCCCTGGACTGAGATTTCCTCCTCTTTGCTGGTGGGGGACGGCTGGAACTAACAAGAGACACAGTGGGAGACTGAGGCCCCTTGGGGGTGCCATTCTGTTTCTGGAAGGCAGCTTTCTTGAAAGGCTGCTCTGGCAACTGCTGCTTCTCAACCCCCTTGGCCCTTCTAAAGGGCTGACGACCGTCCTCAGGCTTAAGGGTGGCCCGGATCTTGGATGGGGATAGCACAGCCAGTGTTTCAGCGTCTGTGCCCTTGGGAGGGGCATTCTGCTTGAGGAAGGCAGCTTTCTTGGAGGACTGTAATTTAGGGGATCGTTGCTTTAGCTTCCCAGTCACCTTTGGCTCCCTGATCCCTTCGGCTTTTCCAGCTGGCTGACTGCTATCCTGGAGCCTGGAGGAAGCTTGGGTCTTTGTGACAGAAGGTATAGTGGACAGTTCTGAGTCTGCCCCTTTGGAGATGCCATTCAGCTTCTGGAGGGAGGTCTTCTGGGGATGTTGCTGTTTCTGCAGCTGCTGCTTCGCCTTTGCAGCCCTCCTGGCCTTCTTGGCTGGCTGGCTGCTGTTCTCAGACTTGGGGATGGCCTGAGGCAAGTCTACATTTGTAGGTGTGGCTGCTTCAGAATTTCCTGGGGTGAAAATTAAATAGATCATGTCGGAAAATGGGCCTGGTCCCCATATTTTAATATTCTCATATTAAAATATGAGAACTGCCATCTCTTGGCCAGGAGTTCCACACAATTAGGTCAGTACCTAAGGGCAGATTACCTAAATTCCCATCACTTAGTAATTACTTAGTATCACTTCACCTCTACTCAAGTCCTAGCTGAACCTTGTATTAAGAGATCACTGCCACTGGTCATTAGAGAAATGCAAATCAAAACCACAGTGAGACACCACCTCATGCCAGTTAGAATGGCAATCACTAAAAAAATCAGGAGACAACATGCTGGAGAGGATGTGGAGAAATAGGAACACTTTTACACTGTTGGTGGGAGTGTAAAATTAATTCAACCATTGTGGAAGACAGTGTGGCAATTCCTCAAGGATCTAGAAATAGAAATACCATTTGACCCAGCAATCCCATTGCTGGGTATATACCCAAAGGATTATAAATCATTCTATTATTATTATTATTATTTTTTTTTTTTTTTTTTTGAGGCGGAGTTTCGCTCTTGTTACCCAGGCTGGAGTGCAATGGCGCGATCTCGGCTCACCGCAACCTCCGCCTCCTGGGTTCAGGCAATTCTCCTGCCTCAGCCTCCTGAGTAGCTGGGATTACAGGCACGTGCCACCACGCCCAGCTAATTTTTTGTATTTTTAGTAGAGACGGGGTTTCACCATGTTGACCAGGATGGTCTCGATCTCTCGACCTCGTGATCCACCCGCCTCGGCCTCCCAAAGTGCTGGGATTACAGGCTTGAGCCACCGCGCCCGGCTTAAATCATTCTATTATAAGTTGAAGACAGTGTGGCGATTCCTCAAGGATCTAGAAATAGAAATACCATTTGACCCAGCAATCCCATTGCTGGGTATATACCTAAAGGATTATAAATCATTCTATTATAAAGACACATGCACACATTATGTTTACTGTGGCACTGTTCACAGTAGCAAAGACTTGGAACCAACCCAAATGCCCATCAATGATAGATTGGATAAAGAAAATGTGGCACATATACACCATGGAATACTATGCAGCCATAAAAAAGGATGAGTTCATGTCCTTTGTAGGGACATGGATGAAACTAGAAACCATCATTATCAGCAGACTGACACAAGAACAGAAAACCAAACACCGCATGTTCTTACTCATGAGTGGGCGTTGAACAATGAGAACAACACACAGACACAGGGAGGGGAATATCACACACTGGGGCCTAAGGGGTAGGGGGTTAGGAGAGGAATAGCAGGGGGTGGGGTATTAGGGAGGGCATAGCATTAGGAGAAATATCTAATGTAGATGATGGGGTGATGGATGCAGCAAATCACCACCATGGCACGTGTATACCTATGTAACAAACCTACACAATCTACATGTGTACCCTAGAGCTTAAAGTATAACAAAGAAGAACTAAAAAAAAAAAGAAAGAAAAAGACAATCAATATGCACACATTAAATAAATATATAAATATTTGTTGAACTTCTTAAAAAAAAAAAAAAAAAAGAGAGATCACTGCTTATAGGCAAGGCATGATGGTTCACACCTCCAATTCCAGCACTTTGGGAGGCCAAGGCAAGTGGATTGCTTGAGGCCAGGAGTTCAAGACCCAGCCCAGTCAACACGGCAAAACTGTCTCTACTAAAATTATAAAAATTAGTCAGGCATGGTGGTACACACCTGTAATCCCACCTACTTGGGATTCTGAGGCACAAGAATCAGTTGAACCTGGAAGGCGGAGGTTGCAGTGAGCTGAGATTGTACAACTGCACTCTAGCTTGGGTGATAGAGCAAGACTCAGTCTCAAAAAAAAAAAAAAAAAAAAAAAAAAAATCAAGAGATCACTGCCTATCCTTGAGCCAAAAGGTTGTTTGTTTTTGTTCTTGTTGCCCAGGCTGCAGTGCAATGGCAGGATCTTGGCTCAGCACAATCTCTACCTCCCAGGTTCAAGTGATTCTCCTGCCTCAGACTCCAAGTAGCTGGGTTTACAAGCTTGCACCACCACTCCCGGCTAATTTTATATTTTTAGTAGAGACATGGTTTCTCCATTTTGGTCAGGGAGGTCTTGAACTCCCGACCTCAGGTGATCCACCCACCTTTGGCTCCCAAAGTGCTAGGATTACATGCAGAACCCGGGCCAAGCTGGGCCAAAAGACTTTTACAGGAAGCTGCGCCCCCTTGAGAACATGAAGTAACAAAATGCTATAAGGAAGAGGTGAATCTCAGGGTTTTTTTTTTTTATTTTGGTTTTTTTTGGAGAAGGAGTCTTGCTCTGTTGCCCAGTCTTGAGGGAAGTGATGTGATCTCGGCTCACTGCAACCTCTGACTCCTGGGTTCAAGTGATTCTCCTGCCTCAGCCTCCTGATGATCACAAGCATGTGCCACCACAGCTGGCTAATTTTTGTATTTTTCGTAAAAACAGGGTGTTCACCATGCTGACCAGGCTGGTCTCGAACTCCTGACCTTCAGGGATCCACCTGCCTTAGCCTCACAAACTGCTAGTTACAGGTGTGGGCCACTGCGCCCAGCCTCACAGGGTCTTCTGAACGACTCTGAAGCACTAGGCTTTATTTACTTACTTATTTTTCATTTTTATTTTTTGAGATGGAGTTTCGCTCTTGTTGCCCAGGCTGGAGTGCAATGGTGCAATCTCGGCTCACCACAACCTCCGCCTCCTGGGTTCAAGCAATCCTCCTGCCTCAGCCTCCTGAGTAGCTGGGATTACAGGCATGCATCATCACACCTGGCTAATTTCCTATATTTAGTAGAGATGGAGTTTTTCCATATTGGTCAGGCTGGTCTCGAACTCCTGACCCCAGGTGATCCACCCACCTAGGCTTCCCAAAGTGCTAGGATTACAGGCATGAGCCACTGCGCCCGGCCTAATTTACTTTTTTATTTACCTTTTTTTTTTTTTTTTTTTTTTTTTTTTGGTATTTTTAGCAGAGACAGGGTTTTTTTTTGTTTGTTTGTTTTTGAGGCAGGGTGTCACTGTGTTGTTTAGGCTGGGATGCAGTGGTGCCATCATAGCTCACTGCAACCTCAAATTCCTGGGGCTCAAGGGATCCTCCCGCCTCAGCCTCCAAAGTAACTGGAACTACAGACAAAGTCTCCCTATGTCGCCCAGACAGGTCTCGAACTCGTGGTCTTAAGTGATCCTACCGCCTCAGCCTCCCAAAGTACTGGGATTTACAGCATGAGCCACCACCACACCCAGCCTATTTGCTTTTTAAATCAGAGAAGTTTTTTTCCATGTGGATTGTGATGAAGTGCAGGATAATTAGAAAGGATAACCACAACCACCAGACTCAAGCTAGGAAAGCATCAACAAGGACTAACATTTTATGTACTTTTTAAGTTATAGCAAATTTTACTTTTTTTTTTTTGAGACAGAGTCTCACTGTTACGCAGGCTGGAATGTAATGGCAGGATCTCACTCCAACCTCCAC